GTAACAAGGGTAACAAAGGGTAACAAGGGGTAGGTAAAGGGGTAAACAAGGGTAACAAGGGTAACATGGGGTAACAAGGGGTAACAAGGGTAACAAGGGGCAACAAGGGGTAACAAGGGGTAACAAGGGGTAACAAGGGTAACATGGGTAACAAGGGTAACAAAAAGGGTAACAAGGGTAACAAGGGTAAACAAGGGGTAACAAGGGTATAAAGGGGTAACAAGGGTAACAAGGGTAACAAGGGGTAAAAAGGGTAACAAGGGGTAACAAGGGGTAACAAGGGGTAACAAGGGGTAACAAGGGTAACAAGGGTAACAAGGGGTAACAAGGGTAACAAGGGTAACAAGGGGTAACAAGGGTAACAAGGGTAACAAGGGGTAACAAAGGTAACAAGGGTAACAAGGGTAACAAGGGGTAACAACAAGGGTAACAAGGGTAACAAGGGGTAACAAAAAATAAGGGTAACAAGGGTAACAAGGGGTAACAAAAATAAACAAGGGGTAACAAGGGTAACAAGGGTAACAAGGGGTAACAAAAAACAAAGGTAACAAAGGGGTAACAAGGGTAACAAGGTAACAAGGGTAACAAGGTAACAAGGGGTAACAAAGGGTAACAAGGGGTAACAAGGGTAACAAGGGTAACAAGGGGTAACAAACAAGGGGCAAATGGGGTAACAAGGGTAAACAAGGGTAACAAAGGGTAACAAGGGTAAATAAGGGTAACAAAGGGTAACAAGGGTAACAAGGGCAATGCAAAGGGTAACAAGGGTAACAAAGGGTAACAAGGGGTAACAAGGGTAACAAGGGTAACAAGGGGTAACAAGGGTAACACAGTAAGGGTAACAAGGGGTAACAAGGTAACAACAAGGCAATAACAAGGGGGTAACAAGGGTAACAAAGGCAAAAGGCAACAAGGGTAACAAGGGGTAACAAGGGTAACATGGGGCAACAAGGGTAACAAAGGGTAACAAGGGTAACAAGGGTAACAAGGGGTAACAAGGGGAACAAGGGTAAAGCAAAGGGTAACAAGGGTAACAAAGGCAGGTAAAGGGTAACAAGGGGTAACAAGGGTAACAAGGGTAACAAGGGGCAACAAGGGGGGTAACAAAAGAGGGTAACAAAAGGGTAACAAGGGTAACAAAGGGGTAACAAAGGGTAACAAGGGCAACAATATGGGGCAACATGGGGTAACAAGGGTAACAAGGGGTAACACGGGGTAAATAAGGGTAACAAGGGGCAATAAGGGTAACAAGGGTAACAAGGGTAACAAGGGTAACAAGGGGTAACAAGGGTAACAAGGGTAACAAGGGGTAACAGGGGGGTAACAAGGGCAACAAAGGGTAACAAGGGGGTAACAAGGGTAACAAGGGTAACAAAGGGTAACAAGGGGTAACAAGGGGTAACAAGGGTAACAAGGGTAACAAGGGTAACAAGGGTAACAAGGGCAACATGGGGCAACAAGGGTAACAAGGGTAACAGGGTAACAAGGCAACAAGGGTAACAAACAAGGGTAACAAGGGGTAACAAGGGTAACAAGGGTAACAAGGGGTAACAAGGGTAACAAGGGGTAACAAGGGTAACAAGGGGTAACAAGGGGTAACAAGGGTAACAAGGGTAACAAGGGTAACAAGGGTAACAAGGGGTAACAAGGGTAACAAGGGGTAACAAGGGTAACAAGGGGTAAAAAGGGTAACAAAGGGTAACAAGGGTAACAAGGGGTAACAAGGGTAACAAGGGGTAACAAGGGTAACAAGGGGTAACAAGGGTAACAAGGGGTAACAAGGGTAACAAGGGTAAGAAGGGTAACAAGGGTAACAAGGGTAACAAGGGCAACAAGGGGTAACAAGGGTAACAAGGGGTAACAGGGGTAACAAGGGTAACAAGGGTAACAAGGGGTAACAAGGGTAACAAGAAAAGGGTAACAGGGGGTAACAAGGGTAACAAGGGGTAACAAGGGTAACAAGGGTAACAAGGGGTAACAAGGGGTAACAAGGGTAACAAGGGGAAACAAGGGGTAACAAGGGTAACAAGGGTAACATGGGGTAACAAGGGGTAACAAGGGTAACAAAGGGTAACAAGGGGTAACAAGGGGTAACAAGGGTAACAAGGGTAACAAGGGGTAACAAGGGTAACAAGGGTAACAAGGGTAACAAGGGTAACAAGGGTAACAAGGGTAACAAGGGTAACAAGGGGTAACAAAGGGTAACAAGGGTAACAAGGGTAACAAGGGGTAACAAGGGTAACAAGGGTAACAAAGGGTAACAAGGGTAACAAGGGTAACAAGGGGTAACAAGGGTAACAAAGGGTAACAAGGGGTAACAAGGGTAACAAGGGTAACAAGGGTAACAAGGGTAACAAGGGTAAAAAGGGTAACAAAGGGTAACAAGGGTAACAAGGGTAACAAAGGGTAACAAGGGGTAACAAGGGTAACAAGGGTAACAAGGGGTAACAAGGGTAACAAAGGGTAACAAGGGTAACAAGGGGTAACAAGGGGTAACAAGGGTAACAAAGGGTAACAAGGGTAAAAAGGGTAACAAGGGTAACAAAGGGTAACATGGGGTAACAAGGGTAACAAGGGTAACAAGGGTAACAAAGGGTAACAAGGGGTAACAAGGGGTAACAAGGGGTAACAAGGGTAACAAGGGGTAACAAGGGGTAACAAGGGTAACAAGGGGTAACAAGGGGTAACAAGGGTAACAAGGGGTAACAAGGGGTAACAAGGGGTAACAAGGGTAACAAGGGTAAAGGGTAACAAGGGGTAACAAGGGTAACAAGGGTAACAAGGGTAACATGGGGTAACAAGGGTAAAAGGGGTAACAAGGGTAACAAAGGGTAACAAGGGGTAACAAGGGTAACAAGGGGTAACAAGGGTAACAAGGGTAACAAGGGGTAACATGGGGTAACAAGGGTAACAAGGGGTAACAAGGGTAACAAGGGGTAACAAGGGTAACAAGGGGTAACAAGGGTAACAAGGGGTAACAAGGGGTAACAAGGGTAACAAGGGTAACAAGGGGTAACAAGGGTAACAAGGGTAACAAGGGTAACAAGGGGTAACAAGGGGTAACAAGGGTAACAAGGGGTAACAAAGGGTAACAAGGGTAACAAGGGGTAACAAGGGTAACAAGGGTAACAAGGGGTAACAAGGGTAACAAAGGGTAACAAGGGTAACAAGGGGTAACAAGGGTAACAAAGGGTAACAAGGGTAACAAAGGGTAACAAGGGTAAAAAGGGTAACAAAGGGTAACAAGGGGTAACAAGGGGTAACAAGGGGTAACAAGGGTAACAACAAGGGGTAACAAGGGTAACAAGGGTAACAAAGGGTAACAAGGGTAACAAGGGTAACAAGGGTAACAAGGGTAACAAGGGTAACAAGGGTAACAAGGGTAACAAGGGTAACAAAGGGTAACAAGGGTAAAAAGGGGAACAAAAGGGTAACAAGGGTAACAAGGGTAACAAGGGGTAACAAGGGGTAACAAGGGGTAACAAGGGTAACAAAGGGTAAAAAGGGTAAAAAGGGGTAACAAGGGTAACAAGGGGTAAAAAGGGTAACAAGGGGTAACAAGGGGTAACAAGGGGTAACATGGGGTAACAAGGGTAAAAGGGGTAACAAGGGGTAACAAGGGTAACAAGGGTAACAAGGGGTAACAAGGGGTAACAAGGGTACAACAAGGGTAACAAGGGGTAACAAAGGGTAACAAGGGTAACAAGGGGTAACAAGGGGTAACAAAAGGGTAACAAGGGGTAACAAGGGTAACAAGGGTAACAAGGGGTAACAAGGGTAACAAGGGGTAACAAGGGGTAACAAAGGGTAACAAGGGTAACAAGGGGTAACAAGGGTAACAAGGGGTAACAAGGGGTAACAAGGGGTAACAAGGGGTAACAAGGGTAACAAAGGGTAACAAGGGGTAACAAGGGGTAACAAGGGGTAACAAGGGGAAACAAGGGTAACAAGGGTAACAAGGGGTAACAAGGGTAACAAGGGGTAACAAGGGTAACAAGGGGTAACAAGGGGTAACAAGGGTAACAAGGGTAACAAAGGGTAACAAGGGGTAACAAGGGTACCAAGGGTAACAAGGGGTAACAAGGGGTAACAAGGGGTAACAAGGGTAACAAGGGTAACAAGGGGTAACAAAGGGTAACAAGGGTAACAAGGGTAACAAAGGGTAACAAGGGGTAACAAGGGGTAACAAAGGGTAACAAAGGGTAACAAGGGTAACAAAGGGTAACAAGGGTAACAAGGGTAACAAGGGGTAACAAGGGGTAACAAGGGGAAACAAGGGTAAAAAAGGGTAACAAGGGTAACAAGGGGTAACAAGGGGTAACAAGGGTAAAAGGGTAAGGGTAACAAGGGTAACAAAGGGTAACAAGGGGTAACAAGGGTAACAAGGGTAACAAGGGGTAACAAGGGGTAACAAGGGGTAACAAGGGGTAACAAAGGGTAACAAAGGGTAACAAGGGGTAACAAGGGGTAACAAGGGTAACAAGGGGTAACAAGGGTAACAAAGGGGTAACAAGGGTAACAAGGGGTAACAAAGGGTAACATGGGGTAACAAGGGGTAACAAAGGGTAACAAGGGGTAACAAGGGTAACAAGGGGTAACAAGGGTAACAAGGGTAACAAGGGTAACAAAGGGTAACAAAGGGTAACAAGGGTAACAAGGGGTAACAAGGGTAACAAGGGTAACAAGGGTAACAAGGGGTAACAAGGGTAACAAGGGGTAACAAGGGGTAACAAGGGTAACAAGGGGTAAAAGGGTAACAAGGGTAACAAGGGTAACAAGGGGTAACAAGGGTAAGAAGGGGTAACAAGGGTTACAAGGGGTAACAAAGGGTAACAAGGGGTAACAAGGGGTAACAAGGGGTAACAAGGGTAACAAAGGGTAACAAAAGGGTAACAAGGGTAACAAGGGGTAACAAGGGTAACAAGGGGTAACAAGGGGTAACAAGGGTAACAAGGGGTAACAAGGGTAACAAGGGTAACAAGGGTAACAAGGGTAACAAGGGTAACAAGGGGTAACAAGGGGTAACAAGGGTAACAAAGGGTAACAAGGGTAACAAGGGGTAACAAGGGTAACAAGGGTAACAAAGGGTAACAAGGGTAACAAGGGGTAACAAGGGTAACAAGGGGTAACAAAGGGTAACAAGGGTAACAAGGGTAACAAGGGGTAACAAGGGGTAACAAGGGTAACAAGGGGTAACAAGGGTAACAAGGGGTAACAAGGGGTAACAAAGGGTAACAAGGGGTAACAAGGGTAACAAGGGTAACAAGGGTAACAAGGGGTAACAAGGGTAACAAGGGTAACAAAGGGTAACAAGGGTAACAAGGGGTAACAAGGGTAACAAGGGTAACAAGGGGTAACAAAGGGTAACAAGGGGTAACAAAGGGTAACAAGGGTAACAAGGGGTAACAAGGGGTAACAAGGGGTAACAAGGGTAACAAGGGGTAACAAAGGGTAACAAGGGGTAACAAGGGGTAACAAGGGTAACAAGGGTAACAAGGGGTAACAAAGGGTAACAAGGGGTAACAAGGGTAACAAGGGGTAACAAAGGGTAACAAGGGTAACAAAGGGGTAACAAAGGGTAACAAAAGGGTAACAAAGGGTAACAAGGGTAACAAGGGTAACAAGGGTAACAAGGGGTAACAGGGGGTAACAAGAGTAACAAGGGGTAACAAGGGTAACAAGGGGTAACAAGGGTAACAAGGGTAACAAGGGGTAACAAGGGGTAACGAGGGTAACAAGGGGTAACAAGGGTAACAAGGGTAACAAGGGGTAACAAGGGGTAACAGGGTAACAAGGGTAACAAGGGGTAACAAGGGTAACAAGGGTAACAAGGGTAACAAGGGGTAACATAGGGTAACAAGGGTAACAAGGGGTAACATGGGGTAACAAGGGTAACAAGGGTAACAAGGGGTAACATGGGGTAACGAGGGTAACAAGGGGTAACAAGGGTAACAAGGGTAACAAGGGTAACACGGGGTAACAAGGGTAACAAGGGGTAACAAGGGTAACAAGGGGTAACAAGGGTAACAAGGGGTAACATGGGGTAACAAGGGTAACAAGGGTAACAAGGGGTAACAACGGTAAGAAGGGTAACACGGGATAAGAAGGGGTAACAAGGGGATTAAAGGGGAACAAGGGGTAACAATGGGGAACTAGGGGAACAAGGGGAACAAGGGTGGACGAGAGGTAACAAGGAGTACGTCTTGGAAAACAGAGGTGGAGAACTTTTCTTTGAATCCTTTCGTTTTACGGTATCAAAGACAAGTGCGGGAGCGAGCATGATATTTGCAGTAAAAATGAACAACCTAGTTAAAAAGAACCTGAACAAAATTTGGGGATTCCTGACCAGATCTTTATGCACAGTACAAAATAAGACTCATGTTATACATTTCAATTCCTGAAAGACTAGTGATTGTATATACAGGCGACTCTCGATTACTCGAACCCTCGCTAACTCGAACCTCGCGCTAACTCGAACCAAAATCGATTTCCCCTGGATTTCCGTCATACATTTACTGTAATTTTACCCTGGGTAACTCGAACCCCCGATAACTCGAACTCCCGCTAACTCGAACCAATTTTTGTTTCCCCTTAGGTCATTTTCTATATAATTTTACCCTCGATAACTCGAACCATGTTTTGAGCCCTTAAAAAGTAGGGAAAAAAGCCGTCTACTGGCGTCCGAAAAATTGAATTTTGGATTTCGTGTTGTAGGAGTATAGTTCACTAATGGAGGCTGATGATTGTCATAGGCTAACGTGAAGCAGCTTTACTTCTCAAAACAGTAAAACGCATGATCTATTTAGGCTATGTTTTGTTTCGTTACGTTCTGATTTATAATCTAGAAGTATCTTTTAATTTAAACTTGACATTTGAGGACATTTCTACCATTAAATGTGATTAAAATGTTCACTGTGCAGTAAAAACTGTTTTTTACCTTACTCTCGGCTATTTTCTTCGAGCTCCCGATAACTCGAACTCCCGATAACTTGAACTTTTTTCGATTTCCCTAGAAGGTTCGAGTTATCGTTAGTCGACTGTAGTGTACTTAAAGGTTTTGAAGGAGCTGTGGGTTTGCATTGCTACTCTAACTGAAGGGCCAAAACAAATGCACGCCACTGATGCATAGTCTGAACAACTTACCCAGTTGTTTTTTGAGCGCTTCAAGTAAAAGCTTGTCCTTAAGAGCGTCATATTTCTGATCCAAAGCCTTGATCAAGTCTTGATCAGTTCCTGTGCCATCATAATCTAACAAAACAGTCGCTACGTTCTCCACCACGCCATCTTTACGCTCTTGTTCCTGTTTGTGTTTTAGAGCTGCCAGCTCTACTTGACTCTGCATTGGATAAACACAAAAACACAACCAAAAAGTGCAAGAATAAATTGAGATTCGATTCCCGCGAAGCTTTTGTATTAGGACATCTGAATAATAATCAAGTATGCACGAACGCAATCTAATTTATCTACAGTTCTACTTTCTTATACCTTGGCCAAACGTCGAACTTTTCATGGGACGAACTTAACTCTAATTTTGGTCGACCTAAATTAAGTTAAGATCGTCTGTTTAGGTCAGATGCGAACTTAGGACACGTCGAACCAATCAACTGAATCAGACAAAAACATTTTTTCCTGAACAGGGCTAAATGTACATTTTCGTATAATTTTTTAATCAATTAGTTTAGTTCGTCGCATGTGAAGATCGAATTTTTTCCCGAAGACGAACTTCAGACGTTCTATAATAATTCGCGTAGCAAGGCGTCAAAACAATCTACAATAGCTCAGAATGAATCCATCAGCAATGCAATTAATCTGAGCGACAAACAGTCCCTGTCAGATCGACTGAATAGACCTCTTTAGCTTGTGCGTTTTGTTTTCCCAGTGATGGTTTCAGTTTTCAAATTGTCCCTATATCTTTTCATAAACGATGCGTAGACATGCACGGGAACATGACGAAATTTGAATTAAGCTCCAGAGTATTATCACATGACCTATTTTGCGAAAACAACTGACATACAAGCTAAAGAGGTCTATCAAATTCTTTATTCACATATTTTCGAGGTACTACAAGAGTACTGACAAGTGAAAATCATATCTTTCCGCGTTTATTTTGTGTACGGGATACAGATGACGCAAAACAAAATACTTCTTTGTTTTCTGTTGAGGGAAAAATCTGCTTGTGACTGTTTCATGGTTTTTGTTTTTCTGTTTTACATTATCTGTGACTGGTACGCGAAGTAAATGCCCATCTTTCGTTCTCTTTTTTCACTTACCTTATCCTGAAGCTGACTCATGATCCCTTCACTCTCCTTATCTTGTTGTTCTTGTAAGTCCGCCATGATAGATACCGTAATCTGTTCATCATCCACTTCGCTTCCTTTTTCGCTGGTCAGTCTGAAACGTCGCACTTCAAATTTATAAGCACAAGCCATGTCTAAGACGTCGACGTGATGTCCTTGATCAGCTACGGATACAATAAAAACGGTTGAAAGTCATAAATAAGAAGGTACACTGTATTACAAAAGTCAATTCTGGATTAGGACTAGGTTTTGCCTTCCTGTGTTATTGCACTATAATAAGGTCCTCTTAAAAATTGTGCGCAGTTGACTTTCAAGTATAACCTCTTGTGAAAACGTCAGAGAAACGAGAAATGACGGTAGCTCAGTCTGTGTGATAGACTCCTGTCCTCTTATAATTCAAAACAGATTCAACGTACTTAAAGTAACCGGCAGCAAAGAGTAGTTCGCTGATAAAATAATCTTGTCTGCAAAAGCGCTGTTGCGACAGTCATGATCCAAAGGAGCATCCTCTTAGGGATTTGCTCTCAGAAAGTTAATTTAAACTTACCCTTGACACCAAAGTCAAGCTCCTCTCTCTTCGCCTTAAGTTCATTTAGTCGTTTCAGTCTGTCATCCTCGCTTACTGCTCTTGCCTCTTCTCTCATGTCTTTGCTGCTCTCATCTTGGAGTAAGCTCATCAAGAACTCTTGCTCCGCGCGATGTTTCCTCTCTAGCGACTTCAAAACTGCATCTTGCCATCCTTGTATATCGTCTGTGAATGCACAAAGATGAGTGAGAGAAGCTTTCAAAACTACTGTTTCTAACTTGCAAATGCATGGGTATGGTCATAACTCAGAACAACTCATTGTCCTTAGTTTTAAATTTGCGGATTGAATCCTAAAAGAAGGTCACCGTACTGACTTGAATAAACGTGTTTATACATGGAAACATCACACGAAAACTACTGAGTGGTATGTTCCTGTGGTACTGTTTATCATACTGAGCAAGGCGGTTCTAGCTGAGTCAGTGGATGAAATCTTTAAGTGTAATAATTAAAAAAACCCGAAATTTAAGTGTCGCGAAAATTCACTGTAATAAAGTATTATTTTCCACTGATGCTGTTTATTGTGCTGGCAATTTTAGTTTTAGAGTCTTAGCAAGAAATCTTGGTCACAATGATGATCTTCTAGGTGAAAAATGAGTAACATTTAATAGTGATTATGTTTCTGAAGACGCGAAAGAAGCATCAGGATTTTGAGCGCATAGGTTAAATTTGTGGCTTTCCGCTCATTAAAAGATTTAATAATTAATAAACCTTTCTCTGGTTCTAGTTCATCCTCCTCCTCTTCGTCTTCAGCTGTTCCTCGTCTTTTTCTCCTTGCTAATCGTTCACGCGCCAACTGTTCTTGGCGTTCACGATCACGGCGTAACCTAACAAATAAACATCACAGGTTATGTTGATCAATCGACTCGAGCAGGTTTTCGAAGGACAACAGCAGCAACAACAACAAAAAATTATATTGCCTCGCAATTGACGGAAATCGTCAGTACTATAAAGAAACTGTTTTGAGTGAAGAAACATTTGGCTTAATTTCTGGTTCACTTTTCTTTGTGTAATGGGTATCTCACCTTTCTTCAAGATTCTGCCGATTTCTCTCTGCAAGTCCCAGCACCAACGCAGCCTCATCAAATTTAGACTCTCGTTCAGCTTGCCTCTTCTCACGTCTGAGACGGGCCAGTTCAGCCTGCCGACGCCTCTCTGCTGCTTGACGATCTTGTTCCTCCTGTAAATTGAGAATAAATAAATACATAAAGCAGCTGAAACGAAAAAAATATCCATCAAAAACTTGAGCCTACACCGTTGCAAGAAAAAAGAATACCCTTAACTTGATTTAGATTCACGTTTACGACAAACGCGAAACGTCAGATAAAAGTTTACAATTTCATGAATTAGGAAATGAGCACCCTTTGAACAGGCCAGGAAATGAGCAGACGAAAACGGTGCCAAACAATAAACAAACCTAGTATGAAAGTACTTATGTTCGTATGGATATAATAAACGTTAGAAGACAAGTACAAGGAAATTTTGGTCATATGGTGCAAATGGAGGATTCCAGTTTGCCATAAATGAACATGATCATGTGACAAGTATCCTGAATACGTTTACGTACACTACCCTGGGTACCACGGTTTTCTTCTCGCGTGCGGCATGATACTTCGGTGTCGGCCACAGGTCGACAGATCTTCGGCATACGACCAAAGATGCCGGAAACCGCGCTTGAAAAGTCTCTGGTACCAGAGGTAAAGAATAACTGCGCACTTAACCCTTTAAGTCCCAATAGTGACCAACATCAGTTTTCTCCTAACAATATCCATACGTTACTAAGAGAAATGGTTATGGGAATGAATCAAAAGATTACAGAATCTCTAAAAAATGTATGAATATCAGTGTGGAGAATTTGTATGTGGATATTTGGGCTTAAAGGGTTAATACCTAAAACAAAAAGACCAAACTCTACCTGAAGCCTCCGTAGCAAGGCGTCTTTCTCCTCATCAAATCTGTTTTGCAGATCTTGTAAAATATTACCAGTGCTGGCAGCTTGCTCTTCTTCCAAGAGACGCATCGTTTCTTCGTCCTCTTCGTCTGGATCTAACCCTTCTTCGATTCGCTTCTGGCGACGCTCCAAGCGTTCCTTTAGTCGTTCTAGATAACGCTGGCGGTTTTCTCCCAATAGGGCCTTTGTAAAATAAAGAAGATGAAGACAGAACACGTCTCCAGGATTTTTAAAACCGGCTTATCCTCACTGTGCCAGAAGAATCCTAAATTGTCCACGTTGGACGAAAAGAATTTATGCTTCCTACACTTCAATTGTGAGTATCAATTCACTTTAACCGGTTTGTCCATCTATAATCTCCTTGTTCTTACTCGTGCCCTAATTCAGTTATAAAATAATTTATCCTCAACTTTGCAGCCCTAACTCTGTTCTTCGAAAACTTATTAATACTTCATAAAGAAAAGACAAAAGAAACTAATGTTTAATGAGTGTCTTTACATCTGGTTAGGACATGGCTAAATTTTACGTCCGATTTTTTAAAACAAAATAACGCCCTACTGTAAATATTAGTGCAAGAATGAGTTGATCCATATCAGAGATTTTGAAGCCGTTCAAAAGACTCGCAGTCTTGTATTATCAGATGTAAAAACCCTCGGCATCACCTCCAGTTTTTAAAACCTGATAATACATTCCTCCTCGTTTTCCAAACATTACTTAAATATTTCAATTTTACCCTCGATTTTATAGCCCAGATTCTGTTCTTTAATATCTTATATAATTAAATTTTATCCTCGTCTTTGTAGCAGAAAAAAGAATCATCCAGCGTTTTTATAGCCTTCGAATACAGCCGTCTGTCCTCTCCTGCGAGACGTTCCCAGCGGCGAGAAGCGGGAGACGGAGGTATTTGCAGGCTAGCGCGTTTTATAAGGCGAAAGTTACAACCTCGCAATAGTCTCTTCCTTAAGCTTGCTAAACCAAAGTTAAGGGAATATAAAAGTTGAACAGTACCTGTAATGCTTCGGCATTTTTTAGCCCCTCTCCTAAAAGAGCAGCAGCGTCATCAAACCTTCCCTGTTGTCTAAGCCGTCGCTCCTGGAGTTTCATCTTAGCCAAGCGAGCTTGTCTCTCCTGTTCAGAAAGTCGCGCCCATTCTGCGGCCCCCATCTGCTTTTCTAACGCTTCTAGAAGCAGCTTGTCACGCAATGCGTCGTACTTTTCTTCCAAAGCTTTCAGAAGTTCATCTTCCTGCGCGACATTATCTTCGGTTCCAAGAAGAACTGCAGCTATTCCGTCTAGTAACTCTTCCTGCCACGATGTATGCTCTTGCTGTAGAAGACGGAATAACTCTTGGACGTCCTGGAAAAAAGAAAGGGAACATTAAGAATAATTCTGCAAAACAGTTTAATAATCTTTTACTTCAGTCTACCAATTCCCGGGATCTTCGTGAAATCGTTACGCGATTCTTCCAGAACTTAACGTAGCCTTTCTAGGAAGGACGAAGCAGTGAAAGGAGGAACCCTTCTCCCCACAACTTTCTAAAGAATGAACAGGTGCACCACTTAAACAAAGAAACATTTAACGACCGTATTCCCTAGAAAACGTTTGCACTACAGGCAACGCGTTACGCGATGCTAGTCTTTCGCTACGTGATTCTCGTCACACATTACGCGAGTCTCATATCTTGCTACGTGATTCTCGTCTCCCGCTACAAGATTTTCAATGAGGGTTGCGCGATTCTGGTAGTGTCCGAACTCCTAGAAACTTTCAAATCATCTCCTAGTTGTTTATAAACACGTCTTCAATTCATATACCTTGCTGTGTAAGGAAAGCAGCATTTGACTTTCTATTTCATGTGTGTGCTGCAAGTCAGCCAAAATATCAGCAGCTACTTGTACATCATCAGGGGAAGTGCCTCTAGACACTCTCAAGTCAGCCCGTCTGTCCTCGAAAACAAGTCCAGCGGCTTCCTGAAGAATTGCGGCATGCCGCCCCCTGCTTACCAACCGTTCAGAGGAGCTCTGTTCTCTCCACGCCTGCTGCTGAGTTTGAAGCACCAACAACTGGTTGGAGCGTTCATCTGCAATTTGTCAAAGAATCAACAATGGCAAACTTTTGATACATCACACCTAAGTATTCACGGGCGCTAAAATCGGCGGGTGGGTGGACGGTGGGTGTGAGTACTTTTTCGACTACACAGGTGGGGTATTTTGGGGGTAGATGCAGTTTTCAATGATTGCCATTCACCTAACATTATCTAAACATTGAACGAATCGACCGGCTATTAACTTAACAAGCTTAGACTGTTCACAGTCTTTCCGTTAGGGGTGGCCATCTTTGTATTAAAAGTACCGAGGGGTGGGCCCTGGGGTTTATAGCGGTTGAGGGAGGAAGGCGAGCCAAACCATCCCCCCGCACCGCCAAGTAGTTTTGAAAAAAAGCGTAATTGTCATTCGTTTAGCAAAGAAGTACTTCAGAGTTCTTGAGAACTCGTTTAAACGTGTCCGTGCGTTCCAGATCGAATCAGAATTTGGAAGTGTTGGATTTTGAGGAGAGGGGAAAACTGGAGTACGCAGAGAAAAACCTCTCGGAGCAAAGGAGAGAACTAACAACAAACAAGCTCAACCTACATACGTATGGCGTTGACGCCGGGATTTGAACCAGGGCCACATTGGTGGGAGGCGAGTACTCTCACCACTGCGCAACCATTGGTACATGTACCTTGAGGATGATACTCATCCTCAAGGGAGTAGACTCGGTACATTTGAAACCATATGGCCTCCTGTAACGTAGACTTGCTACAAGTCGACCTCTTCGGGAAAAATGAGGACTGTGAACAGTCTTTAACAAGCTTGGCCAAAACAAGGATTTATTACGAGCCCAAAACATACTGAACCTGCATTAAGTTTCTTGGCGGCACTGCGCGACTGCACACTCTCTCTTCCCTGTAGAAGGTAGATAAGCATCTCTCGCTCCATGGCTTGTTTTCTCTCAAGTGCACGTACAGTGTCCTCCAATGCATCGACCAAGCCAGCCTCTTTTATAGTACTGAACTTCAGATCTTGTCCTTTCCAGTCTCGTGGCAGTTTTCTTCCTTTTCTGTGAAGCAAACGTTCTCTGCCTAAATGTTCTTGACGTTGACGATCATCTTTTGGTCTAGAATGATAGCAGACATTCGCGGTTAGTCTGACATTCTCAAAAGCAATACGAGGATATGCCTCTGTTATCGTTTACCCCATCGTCATCCGTATTCGCCCTCTTTTCCCCTACCAAGTCTTCTACTGCCTAGCAGATAGCAAGTGGTGGCTAACTGGCTACCGGACAAACGGTACCTAAACCTTTCCAAATATGAGATTTTAGTGAGGTATTTTATTGATTGAAGTAAAATTGATTCGCAGAGACCAGGAGCCAATTACGCTCCTGTAGAGACCTAAACACAACAAATTATCGAAATTAGAAACTTGTAATTCAACTTATTTTTAGAAAGAAATATTTGTTAACCTGAACAATTCAAACACAGACATTTCGAGAAATAGGGCAGCACAAGAGAAAATCGGTCAAAAAAGTGTTCTCAATCTCGGAATTACACATAAACGCCTTTCATGAGTTTCAATCATCATCATCGTCATTCTTTTTAGAAAACGAGTTAAAGTGACTCTAGAACGTTTCATCTTTCCCTTTCTTACAACACAGCCTATCTAAGAACACCAAAAGTAATCAGTCTAGATTTTCGTCTTATCTGAATACCTCTGCAGATGCGTTTTTAGCCTTTCTGCGATTCCAACAGACAATGCCGCACTCTCAAATTTTGCTTCTTCCAATGCACGTAACTGCTCGCGTATGATGAGCCCATACTCTGTTAGCTTTTCCTCTGTGGTCATTGTCTTCGTATCGGCACCCTTCAGCCGAGCAATAACTTTTTCTTTGTCCTGTTGATAGCGTCTTTCCAGGTCCATCAGAATTTTTTCGCTCTTTGATTGCCCTTGGGCTGCTCGTTCACGCGCTTGCAATAATTCTTCCTCTATCTCCTTGTTTGACTTTCCTGTGTAAATTGCAAACGGTACAAGTAAGTTCCACGATATTTCCATCAAAATAAGATAGTTAACTCCACGATTAAAAAGAATGTCAGAGAGCTACAGCGAGAGATAAAAAAAGGAGAAATTTTTTGTTGGAAGAACAACATGAAAATTTTGTAGCGGGGGTGAGAAAATGAGAAATGCTATCGGTCACCGAGGTGAAGATGAGCGGCAGTGAAAAAAGGAACAAGACCAAGTACGACATTTCCACCATAAAACGTGTAACCGTGTAACTGAGGTGTTTCTGGAAGTTTCACCTCGTAGTCGGGCAAAAGAACGGCAAAGAACTGTACAAAAAAGTGTGCTGCACGTGCAAAGATGCTTTTTTGCTAATTAGACCTATTGTTGTTTTATTCACGGTTCTCGTTGCCTTCGCCGCTTAGGTCTAACATTACACGATTTTATACTTTGTATGATCAAACTATTAATACTATCGAGAGCTTCTCTTTTAGCCCTGGTTAAATCTATATATTATTTATAACAAGTGTGGGCATTGTTTGTATTTTTATCAAGCTCTAAGTGCTCTTTATGGACTTAAATAGGTTATATGATAGCTGTTCTTTTGTTCTTTTGAGCTATGGCATGGAAATACAGTGGAACCTCGATATAACGAACCTCTATACAACGAAGAAGTGCTCGGTATAACAAACAATTTTCTTTACCCCAATAATAGAAAAATATATGGAAAAGAACTTTGACGTAACGAAACCTTGTTATAGTGAACAAATTGGCCGTTCGTTATATCCAGGTTCCACTGTAAAACGAAAAATAAACTAACATGAGACTGGAAATGAAATCAGCCTCGAATAAAGTAAAGTAACGGACAACAAGCTGATAAAACTGACCTTCTTTTTCCATCTGTTTAATTTTCTCTGCCTCTTCAAGCCGCTGATTTTCTTCTCCAATTCTGCTGAGTCCCATCAGTGCAAGCAGAGTTGCTGAGTACAGAGCACCAGCCCCTGGAAGACCATCAGCACCATCAAGCTTATCATCCTTACGTAAGCGTTGAACACGCATCTTAAGCTGGATAAAGCGTTCATGTTGTTCGCCTTCAGAGAGTACGGTCCACATCCCTTCTCCAATGTGATGTTTAAGCATCTCCAGCATAAGTTTATCTCGAAGGATCTCGTATCTGCAGTGAAGATGCTCAGTTACGAATATGACTACATTTACTTGAAGGTCATGAATTCCGTTACTGAAAAAAAGCTTTGGACATATTTTTTTAAATGATAGAATGTGCTTTAAACAGAATCAAAAGCAGATTCAAAGCTGGTATTTTGTTCATGCGCTATCCCGTTGTCATAGTAAAACAATTTGTTCTGAAGAAGGGCTAGTATTAGAAATGCCAGCCTTTCCACCTCTTAAATGCGGTAAATTGACTTTATTAACTCAGCTGATAAAACCAAAACTTTTTGTTTGTCTGTCAAGTCTGTCTATCAGTCTGTCTGACTGTCTGTCTACCTGCCTGTTTATCCATAAGTCTGCATGTCTCTGTCTGTCTGCCTATCTGTCTATCTGACTGTTTGTCTGTCTGTCTGTCTTTCTGTCCGCTGGTCTGTCTATCTGTCTGTCTACCTGCAGTCTGTCTACGGCAAAGGCATGTGAGAAAAACCCTTATACTTGTAAGTCTAAGCTAAGAAACACAGAATACAATGCTGCACTGGATCACATTCCAAAAACAGAATATTGTAAAGGGTCTTTCTCATAATGTACAGTAGGAGGAATGCTGTGGAATTCATTACCAACTGAAATAAAGGCATCTGAATCTACAGCAAGAAAATTGTTCAGTAGGTAAGCAAACTGTTGACTGGACTTTATCATCTGTACATATTTTTAGAGTATTCTCTACAGTATTTACTTCTGTTTCAATCTTGGTTTTCATGCACAGTGTAAAGAAGTTTTGTAAATAATTGTGAAATTGCCGTATTCAAATAAAAGTGAATCTATCAATCAACCTGTTTGTCTGTCTGTCTGTCTGTCTCTTTGTCAGAACAAAAATAAATAAATAAATAAATAATAGAACAGAAAAGAACAAGTTAATTACAATTACAGCAAAATATACAAAAAAACTAGTACAGACAAGAATTGAGTTTAGGCAGAACTAGGAGAATTATGTTTGGTTTTGACAAGTATCGCTCGGAAAGGAGATAACGTTTAATTTTTTTGCAAAAAAAAAGAGAAGACCTAAAGAGGTGTGGGTAGTCCCCAAACCATCCCTCCAGCAAAAACCACCTCCCTAATCCTTACTTTGTTCGAAGAGCTTGTATGAGATCAGTCGCAGTGACTTTATGCCTTGCTTTCTTTGCCGCTTTCTCATCCCATTCCTCATCATCATGAAGTAAAGCAATAACACCTTCATGATCAAGTCGTTTAGTGCGCCTTTCAGCTCCTTGTTTCAGTTTATTTGCTTGGTGCATCCTGTCCCGTTCTTCAGCAGCAAGGGAAGCTTCATCCTCCTAAACATAAATCACAGCCATGTTTCAAGAGCTTGTAGGTTGAAAATATGACTGTCTGGATGAGTGTATTGGTGTCTGCAGTCACCATTATTTTACAAAAAACTATACGGAATTCATCAAAAGGAATAACTCCACTGTGTCCTATCAGTAAAAGAGGCCCTCTCCAGGGGGATACATATGTCCCTAGTCTGAAATAAGGTCATTTTGTGTTTTGAGGAGTAGGCCATATGTCCCTGTCATTTAACCCATCTTTACATGTATGTTGTTCAAATGTCACCATTTCATATAAAAGTCTTATGTCAATGTTTCAAGGCCATATTGGTCGTCAGACTGTTACCCTAACATGGGCTTGGTTAACAATACATAACTCTGGTTATTGACCTGTGTGATCAATTGCTGTAAGTCAGAGAGTTATTGTAGATTTGTTTAATCACAAGTATGATAAGTGTCCATATTGGGCGACACAAGTTCTGTTACCAATTAACTTACAGATGTACATATACCAAAATTTGTGATAATTTAGGCTTTCCTAAGTTTAAAATACAGGATTTTCAGGGGGTCTTTTGCTAGAAATGAAAATAATTCGTGTGAGTGTGTGCAATGCCACTTACAGTTACTGTTGAGTTGTTGAAGGCATGATGCATTATACTGTCCTACATGTGTGTATTACAATGACTTTGTCCTATTAATGCTTAATTTAGGGCTGCTGATAGTCAAGCAGATAAGAGAACTTTGTAATAACATGATTAAAGGGAAATTGGAAACATCTCCTATAAGACAACCAACGCTTGGTTTCAATAGCAAACACCAGTAGCTGAGTTTTTTTTCTAATGTAACTAAGCTAGAGCACACCTATCAGTATTTAACTGGACAGGTACAGTTTCCTCCTTCAAAGCACTATAAGACAGGTCTTATAACATTGTTCTCTAATGTAGTCTGTACCAGGCTCTCGGTCAGTGTGGATGAGCAAGAAAAGCAAGCGAGCAGTGATAATAATGAACGAATAAAAAATAGTGGGAAGAGAGAAGACGAGAGCCTGTAAGTGTCTTTTCAAATACCTCAATCCACCCACCACCCTGCCTACTTCCCGAAAAACCATTTCTCATGTCAAAATGTCAAATGTTGTTCATCAAGAGTGTGGTGTAGGAGGGTTTCGCAGCTCGACATGTATGTTAGACTCTGGGCGCATGAAGCCAAATGAAGTAAGCTGTCACAACTGACCAATCATAGGGAAGGAACTGGTACATGTACATGTATACTGGAAAGAGGTACTGAAAACAATGCTTACAGCAGGGTTCTTATTAAGTGCCAGCAGCCGGCTAAAAATGGCTACTTGGAGGTTTGAGCCATTCACTTTTTGGGGAAATAAGGTAAAGTGAGAGACTGAAAGCCTGATATTGCCTACAACACTCAGTTACCAAGCCACCTACTTTTAGATCATAGCTGTCTACTTTAAAACTTAATGAGAACCCTGTTACAGGCACCATTACTCCATCTCTCCCCTGGTCCCACACGGTTTTTGTGCAAATTTTCTCAATTCGCTTTCCTCACCATCTTAAAACCTGGAACAGGGGACCTTAAAAAGCAACATTGGAGCATTTGAATACCCAAAAAAACCCCGGTAGTTAAATCAAGGTAATTTTCCAACCTGAAAAAATCCTTCAACCATCCCTGTCACTTGAAATCCAGAGTATCCCCCCCACTCTCTGGGTTATGATCTCTATCATTTCTGTTGACAGGTAGAGGGGCATATAACAGGAGGGAGTTGGTGGGGGAGGGGGCTATAGGAAACAGAGACTGCTCATTTAAAATACCTGAAATTTCTCCAGTTCCTTGAGATTTTCATACTTATTATCGCAGTAACGCAAGCTGACAGATTTCTCTTCCTCTTCAAATTCCTCATCATCGCATGGTCCACCGTCGACAAGGTTGCACAAGAAGATTTTGATCTCGTCATAACATACGTCTGCCTCTGGTATCTCACGTTGTGACAGAAAGGAACGCCATGTCTTCATAGAGAATAATTCACTGTGAACCAATTTAAACAACATCAGTGCACTTTTAAGTGAGATCCTTCCATTTCCTTCTACATCGACTGCCTTAAAATCCCAAAAGACTTTCTCCTCCAGCGCTTTGCGTCGGTCTAGTTCATCAAGGACGTTGACAAACTTTTCTCGAGGGCAGACGCCGCGAGAATCAGGACCACAAACTGTTCGAATTGCTGCTTCGATTTGCCTGTAATCTATGGGAGAAAAATACAGTGACTCGTGGAAATCTTGCAGCTGGTTTGAGGTCAGATAGCCTCTCATGTCCGTGTCCAATAAGTCAAACATCAATTCCAGATCGAGGATTCCCATTTTCGAGGATTATTTAAAATTAACACTTTGCAATTATGAACGATGACACCGGCAAGTAAGATGTTTCGAGGTTTTAGTCATGACTTTTGCATCAATTTTCCATTTTCAAAATATTCAGCCTTACTAGCCATAACGGGTAGCGATAATAGCAAGATCTGACCCTTTTGCTTTCATTTTGAAGCCAAACTCTTCCCACTAAAAGTCAAACTTTCTTGCAAAGGAAGAATTCAAGTAGCTATGGCTGCCGTAGTATTTACGGCGTGACGTCAGAGGTCACGGAGGAAAATTCGAATTGTACCTGCACATGGAATACCTGCAAAGGATTATCGGATTTAAACGATAATTGAAAAATCTTACGGGGAATTAAGTTTTGGCAGACAATGTCAAGACTTGAAGAATTCTGAGAAACGAGCAGATATTTAAAATGTAACGCAATGGCATTATTGCCGTGTTGTAGTTATTATATAGTATTATTATTTTTTTATCTCAGGTATTTTCGTTCTTCTTTTGTTTTTAGGTATCGCTATGTATGCTAATGACGCTGAAACAAAGGAAAATAACAATCACATGAGATAAAAATTAACTACAACAAATACACTTTGATCTTCTGGTGGTCTGTCTGATCAGATGTAAAAATTTGGCGGGAAACTACTCAGACCACCTGAGACACCTGAAGACCAAGCAGTGCATTCACTTACATAATCCCAAAAAATACTCCTTTTTAGGCCATAAATGGGCTCCTATATGATCTGAGGTTTTTTTACGCTGCCATCCAGGAGTCCAGACCACACGTGAATTTTATCGATATGCCAATTCGCATTGTGCGTCATGGATGTTACACGAAGTGTCACACAATGGAAAGTTGCCCATGGCAACGGTGTGTAGGTATTCAGAAAGCCTTCAGAAAGTAGACAAAAGTAATCTCCCGCAAGGTCAGCCTAAGTAAAGTTTAAAACAACGATTTAAAAGAGTATCTGTGTTTCTGAAAAGCTCAGTCAAGTATCAAAATGGTTCGGGAACTAAATATGGACACACAGCGTCAGAACTTTTGGAAAGAGTCCATCGATAAAGAAGCTTTTGTGCGCCTGGCTTGGCATGCGAGGTACTCGAAGGAATGGGCTCGTGATGCAGCCCAAGTGGCCCAAAGACCTCGCAAAGAAGGGCTAAAAATAAACGCCCTGCAGTCACTGAAACAAGAAATGGAAGCGAAAGAGAAAGAGGAAAAGGAGAGTCGTAAAGAGGTAGAGGAAACGGCAAAGAAAGACCCTGAATCGCTTCTTGTTGAAATGCGTCCCGTGTCGAGAGATACAAGGGAAGTTCTCTACGATGGCTTCAGCGCTCTTGGTGGAGGCCGCTATGCGTATTTACAGAAGAGAAAGCTGAAAGACCCGGAGATAAAATACGAATTTCCCATCTTAAGCTCGTGGGAAATAGGATGGAGACTCCAGGATTGCGTAACCCAACACGGAGCGCCGAAAAATGGTCGTACCAGGGTTATTCGAGACAACTTTTTCCGACCAAACGGAATCTTCTACACATCATAAACTTTCTGATGAAACATGAACTTTAGACGCTTGTTACTCTTTTTGGAGATCGTTCTGGACTTCAGTGTTTTATTCCCTTTCAGTTTTAACAGTAACTTTTGTGTATATGCTTGCTCTGTTGGATGTTTTTAATTTTCAACTCTTTTTGAAGCTGGTTCACAGTTAATTAGTTTTGCGATGCACTCAACGTGCGACTAATCGATTTGATTGAAAAACGAAAAATATTTTGGCGGTTCCGTCTTGTTTTGACCAAAACGCATAGTGCAGACAAAAGTGTTTATACTGGTTTTTTTATCACATTTTTTTAGTGGCGAGGTTTAATATATTTTCATGTCACATGTGGCTTTATAAATTTTGTATGGTGAATAGAAATCACCGAAGGCACAAAGGAATGTTGCGAATTTTTGTACTATTATTTGAAGGTAAATAACATTAAAATCTAATCCTTTATTTGAAATTCTTTATTTGATGTCTCATTTCTTCTTGTAATTAGTTGTGACAACAAAGCAGTTTAGAGTTAAAACCCTTAGATAATACAGATTTATCAGCATACTAAACTTTGATTTGCATTACGTATCAGTATTATTAGTGTTCGTCGTTTGCATCCAAGCGACAATTAATTAAGGCGACCATGTTGGCTGACAAAACAATACAATGAAATCAACTCCAGGGTTGTCACTAAGATTTCAAGTTGCAGGGTAAATACAACCAGTGGGCGGAGAATGAAAACAGCTAGGGGTTTCTTTTGGTTCTATTTTTCTTTTATTTTCCTATGAAAGTAGTCAGGGGAAACCCCAGCCCCTGCCTCCTAATGACAGCCCTGAACTCCCTCCAATATAGACACCTTTAGGACTGGCACTATGTTGCCATCTTAGAGAGATGTTCATCTTATAGAGAGTCGACTAAGCAAGGATTACAGTTCTACAAGTATCTAAATAACTTAGTTTATTGGACTTAAGCCAATCCCATTTTTCTGAGGGGAGGGGCAGCTGAACAGAGGCTAATTGGACTTCAACTACACTAAAAATAACTGTTCAGCATTTCCATATAGAACAGAATTTAACTTGCTTACCCCCCAAAATTTTTCATAACCATTGTTTTTAATTTCTCTTAGGGCAACTGTAATACCGAGGAGAAATTGGAAACAATGGGTATGGAAAATTTGGGGGGCAAGGCAAGGGTGCATTATTGTCAAAGTATTAAAAAATTCTGTTGCCATCATCATTTTATGTCAGTTATTTTTTTTTTTAATCCTTTCTTGGTCCTTTCTTTTCTCTTTGCTCTGATTTAAAATACACATTAATTCAATGGCATCTACAAACACTAAGAAGGTCAAACATTATCCACTTTACAAATCAAGGAAGTGCACACATGAGTTTCTCTTGGGGACAGAATGTGTACACTGCCAATCTGACTCATCTGCATTTGCATAATATTACAACCGGTGTTTGCATGGTAGACACCAGTCTCAACTAATATTATAATAATCCTCGCTTCTTTGTATCTTCTTTCCTTGGATGTGAGACTCTTCCATTTTATGTCCATTCACTAATGCACTTCCAAGAGATCCATTCCTTTCGAAAGGTAACAGAAAGCTCACTGCTTACAGTTTTCCACGATCTTCCTTTAGCGAAATTGTGCGATTAAACACCAGCTGAGAAAAAAAATGATAAAACTTTATTCTGTGAACAGTTTGAAAGGAGTCACTAAAGTGGCACCGCCCATATCTGATATCCGGAGTCACAGGTTCGAACATTCAAGTAGTCTCCCACACAGCTGTTTTTATCTTGTCACGCAATGCTCCTCCCCAAAGAAAGGAACATTGCGTGATGAGACAAAAACCATTGTCGCATTCAAGGGGTTCAATGAAGAAACAGCACTCAGCACAAGTAACAGTGTTCTGATTGAGTGGATTTGAGCATCTTCATTACTAGGGGGGGGGAGGGTATTGTGGCTATTTCTAACCACAGAAACTGTACATTTTTGGCCTCATTCAAATAGAAACTAACCTTCTTTTTACTAGCATCTGGATCAACACTGAAGAAACCAATTCTTTCAAACTGAAATTTGTCGTAGACATTAGCATCTTTGACTGACTTCTCCACTAATGCATTAGGGATTACTGTCAGGGAATCCTAACAAGAGAATCAAAATGAAAAGGTGACTTTAGGGGAAATAAAACAAAGGATTTTCAAATCACACTGAGGTTCATATAACCTTTTTTTTTTAAGAAATTTTTTTTAGTTTGAATATCTCATCTCACCTTGTTGCAATCTGTTATAAACCCACCAGGCACTTCAGAAGGATCTTCAGGATTTTTGTGTCTGAAACTGTAATGATTACAATATTTATGTATGGTCATGAACAAGTAATATCAGTTTAGCACAGAGAGGTTCTAAGGGTAGTCACACAAGCACCAGATGGTAAGCACTTGATTAGAAGAGGCAGTAGTTTTTAATGAATGAAAATAAATTGTAATGAAAGAGCAAAAGCCAGCTAGTTTTATCCTCGCATGACAAAAGTAAACCTGCCTTTATTATTCAGAGAATGTGATACTTTTGACAAAGTAAAAGTTAAGACAAATCAAGGGAGATTACTGATGAGTGCAAGTTAGTCCAAGTACTTACAGCCGCTCATAAAGCCTGACTTCACATGTTAGTGGGGAGGACACCCAGTGAATAAAAGCTTTGGGTTTCTGTGCAGTTTCTGTTGATTCGCAATTCACAAGCAATTCTGTCACTTTACCACTAGAGTCCTGAAATCAAAACACAACAAACAAATATGTGTTGTCATTACAATGTATTTTTTTGTGTCAGAACATGATGCTATGCAACAGCCCAATAAATTATTAAAATAATAGACTACATGAACCGTCCGCACTTAAATTTGTTCAAAGGGTTAAACAAATAAAAGTCATGGAAGTGATCATAATAAACTTAATTTTAATTTTTCCTTTAGAAATCTTAATAAAAAATGAAGACATCATAGGAATGGATGGAAAGTATTCTAGTAAGTAATTAACAAAATCCTTTCCCATAGTGAGTAATGGAGTCTTGAAAGGTAGTTCTAACTTTAGAGTCTGTGGATAAAATGCTGCGGGGTGCCCATTGAAATGAAACCTCTTTGCCAGTACTTTCACATGGTGCTACAGTTGAGTCCTCATGTTTTAACTCAAACCATTGCTAACTCAAACCTCACACTTACTCGAACCAAAGTCGATTTCCCATGGATTTCCCTAATACATTAAATTTTATTTTACCCGCAGCACTGTAACTCGCACCCTCAATAACTTGTACCTGCCGCTAACTAGAAGTATTTTTTGTTTCCCTTCAGATCATTTCTATATAACTTTACCCTCAATAACTCAAATAACATTTAATTAAGCACCTGACAATTCGAAAACAAAAACAGTGTACTTAAGTCCAAAACATTGAATTTATATTTCAAAACAACCGTGTCAATTGTTTGTCTTTACTTTTATGTCACTCCAGAGTTCAAATTCAGTGTGTCCATCTTTGTATATTAATTAAGCTTTGTTGCTTAATTGCATTCCCTCCCCATCCACTTGATTACTTCATTTTTTCCAGTTATTTCCCCTGAACTCCCAATAACTCAAACTTTTTCGATTTCCCTAGACGATTTAAGTTATCATGAGTAGACTTTATTTGTTTCTCAGAATTCCAAAAACTAAAAATTTTGTCATTTTGGGAGAAAAAAGGATTAAGGATTTTTACTTAATGGTAAAGTTAAAAAATAACCTACCTTAACAATTTTATCTAGTTTAATCACCATTCCAGCGTACTTCAGTCCTACAGATTGATCAGGAGTAAGGCGGCGAAAACCTTTCTCTGAAACCTAAAAGAGAATTTTGAGGGCAAGTCAAGAAAACTCAATAAATCTTATTTTACACACAAATAAATTATATTAAGCGGAAACATCCAATGTTTCCAGTATCACATCAACCCCAGTTCCACTTTCCAAAAAAAAATCCTATATACCATTCAAATAAAAACTTTTGGCCTTTAAAAGACGAAATTTCATACTGTTTGACATTCCCCACTGTTAGGAAAGACAGAATTATCATTTGATGCAATTTTTTTTCCTTTTCATTAGCTGAAAGCTCACCACGTGACCTGCAAATAACTGCCTACAAATAATGGTCCGCTCATTGGCAATGTCTTCCAACTGTGTTTGGCTGCAAATGATATTCTGCTCATGCATAAACAAAACCATGTTTTACTCCTTCTTGCGATTGTTTTTGCATGAAAAATGGCAGATCACTTTGCTTCCCGAAGAAATTCATAAAAAATCAAACTTGGTAATCAAAAGATAAAACAACCATCTGGATAGATCGGAAAAATCAGGTATCAGAGAAGAAATAAAAGCCAAAAATGTTTTGCTAATGTACCTCTTTGAAGTCGGATTGTTCGATAAAGATTGTCTTCCCAAAAGGAATCTCGTGATTTCCTTTACTTGGGTCTTGAGGGAAGTCGGCTACACTAAGTGTCACTTGCTGAGGAACAAAATATAATCTGCATTACAGTTGTACCTTAAACAATCAACTCTCTAAAGTAAAATCAAGTTTTGGTTACAAGGAGAAGGACTATGAAACTTGGATCATGTAAATTTCTGACCCAGCAACTGACTAAACTAACCAAAATGAGAGCAAATCTTTGTGATATTTAACACTGAGAGCATACTGGCAGTAAACATCATTTTGCATGACTCACATACAAAGGAAAAAAATTAAATTCCATTACGATCATTCAATGATCGAAATAATACCTGTCTACCTGTCGATTTCAGGTAATTTTAGGAAGTGACAGGTAAAAAATATTGATGCCTGTCGCTGGCGACAGGCAAGAAAAACCTCAATAATTCATAATTTATCAATTTGAATAATATTTCCATCCATTTTCCACCAGCATGCGTGCTCACTCGTTCAGTTCATCGGAGTTCTCGCACGGGACTCGCACGGTATATGCGGTAGTTACCAGACTCTACTCAATAAAAACGAGATGATGCAATCGTTGTAGTGCGCATGACGAGATAACAAATGCCATATGACTTGCTTTGCTTCTTCGTCGATCGAAACACTATAATCGGATAATGATATGGATCGCTTTCTGCTAAAGCGGAAAATTGCTAACGAAGCGGAAGTGGAAGAAGTTCATGTAGAAGAGAATTTGGCAGCACCGACAACGAAACGTAATAATGTACAGGAGACTAGTGGATGCCTATGGGCACCAAAGGCCTAAACAGGCTGAGACAAAATAAACTGACATGTCATTGCTTCTATCATTTTATTACTAATATTGTCAATTGTAAAACCACAGTTCAATTTTGTTATCGCTAAAAAAAGGAAAATAAATGTTTAAATTATTGTTCAGCTTGGATGTTGGTGGAGACAGGTAAAAAAATATTCTACCTGTCACCAGACACAGGTAAAGAGTCTGGGAACATTTCGACCCCTGCATTGTGAGTTTCCATGACCTAATAAACATGCCCTCAGGATATTAATTATTTTAATTTCTATACTCTGCATTAGAACATTGTTCAGATTACATACAAATGCAATGTACCTTGTCAAAGTTTTGTATTGTAACTTTAATGGGGTCTAGCACAGCCATCACCCTGAGGAGTTCAATGCAAAATTAAATCACAAAATATAATAAAGTTCCATTTAACTTTAGTATCAAAAGGAAAGTTAGCTTAAACAGAAGCATCATTAATTGCTTTCCTCGTTTGTGTCACAAATTCAAAGCAACAAACAACGTCATAAAAAAAACTGTACTAAATATTGCATTTTGTAATCCCAGGATTTGATGATGTCAAACACTTGACATGACTAATGGTGGTGAGTTTTTGGGAAAACTGCAATAAATATTGCAACAGAATTGCACAGAAATGTCATTGATATTGCCACTACTTTTCACGCAACAATGGCTGAACCAGACAACTACACTAAATAATCACAAAATGACAGCATCCAGTTGTGAGTTTCAAAATTACCTTGGAGCTGTAACATTAAGTTCATCTCTTACGCAAGACTCTAGAAGCAGAGGATCTGTTACTGTCTGGGCCATTGTCACACCAACCTGCAATATTGTAAGGCGACAGCATCTGTTCAGCAGTTGCTATAATGATAACGGTTACCTACAATGGAATCCTAGTTTCTCTGACCCATTAGAATTATTTAGGGGCTGTTTACATGGAGGGAGGAAGATCCTAGTGCCAGGAAGATCCTAGAAGGTGGAATAACTTTACGTTGGGTTTACATGCAGAAATTTTGGCCCATGAGTTGTCCAAGTAGAGAAGGTTAGAGAAGGAATTAAAAATGGCGCTCAACAAACTCAAAAATGCAATTTGGGTCCTTCTGTTCTCTTTACCGGCGTAAATCACTACCTTTCAGCTGAATTAAAACATAATCTGCTCGTGGATTACTCTAAACGAAATGGTCGGCCTTATTGCCGTAATTAGCCACAGAATGACCCGCCAACATTTTTGTCGCGTTTGTCCCTAGTACTAGGATCTTCCTTGCAAAAGCAGTTCACATGGTGCTATGATCTTCCTGGTGCTAGGATCTTCCTACCTCTCAGCTAGGAAGATCCTAGTGCTAGGGACAAGTACAACCCTTTGCATGTAAACTGAATACAGAAAACATATGGTGCTAGGATGATCTGCCCTCTAGGATCTTCCTGGTACTACGATCTTCCTCCCTCCATGTAAACAGCCCCTTAGTCAAAATTACAAAAGAAGCCCTTGTAAGCCAACATCATTGGGATGCAAAAAAGGTGTCCATAGCTGGAGCTGGCCGCTTGCAAGAGAGTAAAAATACAGAAAAACCGGGTTTAGAGAAGGCGGCTGTAAGTAGAGCTACTGCTTATGAGAGTGTCTGTTAGGAGAGTCTCCAATAAATTTTCAAAGTTCAGGAGGAGCTGATCTGAAGTTGTGGAGACCAACAAACCCGGCCAAATTATTTTCTAAAATCAATACACTGTAGTCTCCAGATATGATCAACAGTGGCACTAGTATTCCCTTTTTAACTGGCTTTCCAGGAGCCACATCTTGGTCAGTGTTCAACAAATGACATTCAAACTTGGCATCTTAACTAATAAAGGCATTCTTTTTAGCCATGGATTTTTGCAAACTGGTCCCAGTCAAAAGTTGAAAAAACCTGTGGGTCTATTTTTTTAAACAACTTGTCTTAAGTCACCTTGGACTCCGCCAAAGGAAGAGGAGGTTTCAGAAATCAATAATCGAAACCTGCAAATATTCTAACCACCTTCCAATCCCAAGAAATTTATTCACAAAAACCCCTACATCCTTGTCAATTTTCATACCTTGAAAACATGGTGATAAAACAGATAATACCTTTCCACAGAATTTATTGATAGCCTCTGGAGGAAATCCTCTTCTTCTCAATGCTGTTAGAGTGAACAATCTTGGGTCATCCCAGTCTCTGAAAATGACCCAGAAAAGAATATTTACTTCATCAGATTATTCATGTGGTGGATGATCTGCACAAGTGACAGAAAGCAGTGACTTCTGATAAAACAATAGATTCCCATTTCAATAATTGAAATGGAAATTATTAATTACTATTATTATTAATTATTACAGTCAAACCCCATTAATACAGACACTGAGGGGGCCATAGAAGTGCTAGTGTCTGTGTTAAAGGTGTGTCTCTAACAAGCAGGTTGAATTTAGAGAAAATGTGAGTTTTCTTTCCCCTTGAACAAAGCAAGCTTACTGTCTGTAAAGATGATGTGTCCATATTAAGTGTGTGTCCATAAAATGGGGTTTTGACTGTACTTCAGATGAGCTTGTGAACCAAACTTCAGATTTAGATCAGTAGTTGAATACCCCTTCAGAATAGTTTTCAGCCTTTTTTCTCATCCTAACCCCACTTTGACAATTTAAGTACCCCTTTAAGCCCCCAATATCCACACACAAATTCTCCACACTGATCTCCATATATTTTCCTACAGAATTAGTTATGAGAATTTGATTCAAGATCAAAGTGTTTTCTCTTTAGTGATCACTTTCTTAATTTTGCTCATGACTTTTTCTTTTTATACTGTATTGGTTTTGTTAGGAGAGTTGATGCTGATCACTTGAAGGACTTATTTAGAATGGTTGAGGCAAGAGGACAGTTGACAATTCAGGCTAATGTAACCTGAGTGCATGTTACACAACAACAGCTGAAATATGCCACTTCTCACCTGACAATTCCTTCAGATATTAATTTGCCAATCTTCCTCTTTGACACAACAGTGTAACTCAAGTTCAGTCTGCCATACTCCCACTGAACAGGGCAGTAAATATCAAGGGCATTGCACAACCAGTAGTATGACGAACGTCTGTCAAAGAGAAACAAATGTGTCATGCACGTCATGGAGTTATAATAAATTAGAATAATTAGTGGTCAATGTTAAACATCTGTTTTAAGCTACAATTATCCAATCAGAGGCTAAGATAAATTGTTGTTGCTTTCTGATTGGATAAGATGTAGTAGTCACACTTTTGGGCTGCAGTGCATCTGTGGTACTGTAAACTTGAAGTCAAAAGCTAATTATATAACATACTCAGCTTGTAAAACACCACCTTTCCACCCCATCCCAACCATATGACCTCTTCCCCGCCCTGCGACCCCAAACATATTATCAGTTTTCACACGGCGTCACCAAAATTCAAACTAAGGAACTATCGATTGTTCTGATTTTCTACTCTCACAAGGTATTACAGCATCCACACTCTTATTTATACTTCTTTTTGGCTTGAAAGGGTTCTTTGTTTTACAATAGAGAACACTTAAATTTCCAGGCTTTTTTATGACATGGCATTTAGCTAGCAGCCTTGAAAGAACTTTTGCAGGTTAAAAACATTACAGATATTCTGAGATTTTGCTATCTAAACATTCCCTGTCTCAAAATAAATATTACTTTAATCTTTCTGACTTCCTAAAGCGATAAATTCATGCATTTGTAGCAAAACTCAAAAACAAATGTTTCTGTTGATTTCCAGTAGCCATATTTGTGCCCCTCAAAGGGAAACCAACATGGCGCCTCCATACAAAGCTTTATAAATTTGCGTAATACGTTTTTCCCAATATCTTGCATATGAAATATTACACACAGACCTGATTCTTGGTGAGGCTTTTTGTGTATATATCTTCTTTTATTTCCCAGATTTGGGACTCTCTGTATACAATGGTTTGCATTTTTTTTGATGGCTTGACAGAGAAACAGAGAGTAAACTGTCTCCCTCACCCCAAACACATAACCTGTTTTGGGAATTCAGAACACTCTTGTTTCTTCTTACGCCCATTACTTCCAAGTGCCTGCTGCGCAGGCTGTGAAAAATGAAGAGGAACGTAAAATAAAGAATAAAGTGTATAAAAAATTATGAAGAATTAGACAGGGAGAAAGGAGATTGCTGTTTTCATTTTCCTGTTTATGTCTCTTTTAGCTGTCCCCACAGGCTACAACTAAACAATATCAAGTGGTTATTGCAATTTTTTGCTGCTCAAAAACCATAGTTAACTGAGGTATGTTGCAATGAAACAATATTTACTGTGCAATACACTGTATGTCATCATGTCTGATGACTACATGTGTAAGGCACATCAGGAATTCACAAGATACTCACCTTGACTGGAATTCTTTTGTACACAGTGAGTGTGAGATATCTTCAATCGAGTCACACAGACAGTGAGTAAAGTCATAAGTCGGATAAATACACCTGGTGAAACAATTGAAGACTTGGATTACTTAGGTTAACTACAGTATCTCCTTCAACTCTTGAATTTAATTCAGGTGCATCATGTTACATAGGCTCCTTTCTTACAGAGATTAATAATTGTTATGAAGTATTTATTTGCTTTGAAGCCCATGTAATCTTCAGATTTTGACAGTTGAGATACCACATTTAAAGTTTTTCTTCCCTTTCATGTTTTCCTAATTATATCTGTTAGCAATTTCTTACTTTGTGCTCTGGCAGCACAGATCTTGTAGATTGAAAGGTTCAGGCTAGCTGTTCTGCTTGAACTGCTAGTCTGCACCAAATGGGCCAACAAATACCACAAGCACATAAGAAAATGGAAATTTGTGCTGCTCATGTTTTTCATTGTGCCTTAAAATCGCTAAATAATTAGGCTGTAGGTAAAATTCATTGACCAGTTAAGCCAGTGTTCCACCTAGTTTGCTTCAGAATTTTTTTTTCTTTCCTACCCTAATTATTAACGGGACAAAATTTTGAATTAACCCCAAAACGGATTTTTCCTACAACACATAAAGCACACACCATACCAGCTGTAACCAATGACAATGTGATGGACCTAGCTACAATTAATGTGCATAGCCAAGGAGTACATAGTACTTACCATTCATCGCCTGACCTATGATGAGGAGTAAACTTAATACGATATGCAACTGGGTCTACTTTTCCATCTTCGAGTGTAGTCTTCATTCTTAAGGTGGCCTTGAAACACAACAAAAAAAATTAACAACAAGGTCCACCAAGCTCCTCCCCTCTGTTGATACCTTTAAGGTGCATACTAAAAGTATCCTAACCTATCAAAGTTAAAAGACAGATTCCTAATTTCCTACCCTGTATACTATTGTGTCATTACCCCTGATAAAACAATGAACATTTCAATTTTCAGTCATACAAATTCGACTCATTTTCACATGGTGACAAGAATAAATACGATAACAAAGGTGGCTTGAGTAACAAGAGTGATCAGTGTAACTTGAGTGACTAGGGGGACTAGAGCAACTTGGGTGACTTGGGTGACCACAGTAACTTGGGTGACTAGGGTGACTAGGGTGATTAAGAAAACTTGGGTAACTTCAGTGATTAGGGCAACTAAGGTGACTAGGTTAACTAGGGTGGCTTAAGGTAACTTAAGTGACTACGGACACTAGGGTACCTTGAGTGACGACAGTGCCTTTGCTGACTATGATGTGACTAGGGTGACTTCGGTGATTAAAGCGACTTCAGTGACAAGGGTGACTAGGGTGACTAGAGTGACTTGGGTGTCTACGATAACTTAAACAACTTAAGTGCCTAGGGTGACTTGGGTGAATAGGGCGACTACGGTGACTAGGGTGACGAGGGTGACTTGGGTGACTTGGGTGACTAGGATGACTTGGGTGACTAGGGTGACTAGGGTGAATAGGATGAATAAGGTGACTTTGGTGACAAGGGTGACAAGGGTGACTAGGGTGACTAGGGTGACTTAAGTGTGTAGGGTGGATTTGATGACTTGGCTGACTAGGGTGCCTAAGGTTACTAGGGTGACTAGGGTGACTTGCGTAACATGGGCGACTAGGGTGACTAGAGTGACTTGGGTGACTAGGGTGAACTGGGCGACTTGGGTAACAAGGGTGACTAGCGTGACAAGGGTGACTAGGGTGACTTGGGTGACTTATAATAAGTAACTGGGGTGACTAGGGTGACTTCAGTGACTGGGATGACTAAGAGGACTAGGGTGACAAAAGTGACTAGGTTAACAAGGGTGACTAGGGAGACTTGGGTGTCTACGGTGACTATGAAGCTTGGGTCACTAGTCAACCTAGTCACAAAAATCACCTTAGACACCCTAGTCACCCAAGACACCCTAGTCACCCTAGTCACCCAAGTCAACCAAGTCACCCTGATCAGCCTAATCACATAAGTCACCCAACCCACCCACCTCACTCAAGTCAGCTAGTCAATTCTAGTCATCCCTACCCATCCACAGTAATCCCAATCATCCCTAGTAATTCCAGTCCTCCCCACTCATCCCTAGTCATCCCAGTCATCCCTTGTCATCCCTAGTCACCCAAGTCATCCCTAGAAATCCCTAGTAATCCCCAGACGTCCTTAGTCATGACAGTCATCCCTAGACATCCATATTCATCCCTAGTCATCCCAGTCATCCCTATTCATCCCTAGTCATCCCAGTCATCTCTAGTCATCCCTAGTCATCACAATTCATCCCAGCCATTCCTAGTCATCCAAATGATCCCCAGTCATCCCTAGTCATTCCAGCAATCCCTAATCATCCCTAGTCATCCCAGTCATCTCTAATAATCCCTCATCATCCCTAGTCATCAATAGTCATCCTACTCATCCCTAGTCAGCCCAAGTCATTCCCAAGTCATCCCACTAATCATAAGTCATAAAAGTCATCCCTAGTCATTTCTAGTCATCCCAAGTCATCCCACGTCATACCAGTCATCACCAAAAAGAGAAAAAATCTTTAGTCATCCCAGTAATCCCTAGTCATCCTAGTCATCCCTAGTAAACCCAAGTAATTCCCAAGTCATCCCACTAATCATAACTCATAAAAGTCATCCCTAGTCATTTCTAGTCATCCCAAGTCATCCCACATCATACCAGTCATCTCCAGAAAGAAAAGAAATCTTTAGTCATCCCAGTAATCCCGAGTCATACATAGTCATCCCTAGTCAACTTACTCATCCAAGTAATCCCCAGTCATCCCAAGTCATCCCTAGTCATCCCTAGTAATCAATAGTCATCCCTAGTCATCCCTAGTCATCCCAGTCATCCCTAGTCATCCATAGTCATCCCAGTCATCCCCAGTCATCCCTAGTCATCCCTAGTCATCCATAGGCATCCCCAGTCATCAATAGTCATCCCAGTCATACCTAGTCATCCCATTCATCCCTAGTCATCAAAGTCATCCCTAGTCATCCCTACTCATCCCTAGTCATCCCAGTGATCCCTAGTCATCCCTAGTAATCCCAGTCTTCTGTAGTCATCCCGAGTTGTCCAGAGTCATCCCGAGTCATCCCGAGTCATTCCTAGCCATTCCTAGTCATCCCAGTCATCCCTAGTCATCCGGGTCATTCCTACTCATCCCTAGTCATTCCTAGTCATCCCTAGTCATCCCGGTCATCCATACTCATCGCTAGTCATCCCTAGTCATCCCAGTCATCCCTAGTCATCCCTAGTCATCCTTAGTCATCCCTGTCATCCCTAGTCATCCCTAGTCATCCCTAGTAATCCCTAGTCATCTAACTCATCCCTAGTCATCCCTAGTCATCCCAGTGATCCCCAGTCATCCCTAGTCATCCCACTCATCCCTAGTCATCCCACTCATCCCTAGACATCCCTAATCATCCCTAGTCATCCAAAGTCATCCCAGCCATCCCTAGTCATCCCTAGTCATCCCAGTCATCCCTAGTCATCTCTAGTCATCCCTAGTCATCCCAGTCATCCCTAGTCATCCCTAGTCATCCGTAGTCATCCCTAGTCATCCCAGTCATCCCTAGTCATCCCTTTCATCCCAGTCATTCCTAGTCATCCCTAGTCATCCCTAGTCATCCCAGTCATCCCTAGTCATCCCTACACATCCCTAGTCATCCCTAGTCATCCCAGTCATCCCTAGTCATCCCACTCATCCCAGTCATCCCTAGTCATCCCTAGTCATCCCTAGTCATCCCAGTCATCCCTAGTCATCCCTAGTCATCCCTAGTCATCCCTAGTCATCCCAGTCATCCCTAGTCATCCCTTTCATCCCAGTCATTCATAGTCATCCCTAGTCATCCCTAGTCATCCCAGTCATCCCTAGTCATCCCTACACATCCCTAGTCATCCCTAGTCATCCCAGTCATCCCTAGTCATCCCACTCATCCCAGTCATCCCTAGTCATCCCTAGTCATCCCAGTCATCCCTAGTCATCCCTAGTCATCCCTAGTCATCCCTATTCATCCCCACTCATCCCAGTCTTCCCGAGTCATCCCAGTAATCCCTAGTCATCCCTAGTCATCCCATTCATCCCTAGTCATCCCTAGTCATCCCAGTCATCCCTTTTCATCCCTAGTCATCCCAGTCATCCCTAGTCATCCCTAGTCATCCCTAGTCACCCCTAGTCATCCCAGTACTCCCTAGTCATCCAAGTCATCCCTAGTCATCCCTAGTCATCGCTAGTCATACCAGTGATCCCTAGTCATCCCTAGTCATCCCGGTCATCCCTAGTCATCCCAGTCATTCCTAATCATCTCTAGTCATCCCAGTCATCCCTAGTCATCCCTAGTCATCCCACTCATCCCACTCATCCCTAGTCATCCCTAGTCATCCCTAGTCATCCCATTCATCCCTACTCATCCCTAGTCATCCCAGTCATCACTAGTCATCCCTAGTCATCCCTTATGATCCCTAGTCATCCCTAGTCATCCCAGTCATTCCTAGTCATCCCTAGTCATCCCTAGTCATCCCTAGTCATCCGATTCATCCCCAGTCATCATTAGTAATTCCTAGTCATCACACTAATCCCTAGTCATCACCAGTCATCCCTACTCATCCAAGTCATCCTTAGTCATCCCTAGTCATCCCTAGTCATCCCTAGTCATCCCAGTCATCCCTAATCATCTCTAGTCATCGCAGTCATCCCTAGTCATCCCTAGTCATCCCATTCATCCCCAGTCATCATTAGTAATCCCTAGTCATCACAGTAATCCCTAGTCATCACTAGTCATCCCTAGTCATCCCAGTCATCCCTAGTCATCCCTATGACTGGGATGACATTAATTCCTAGTCATCTCTAGTTATCTCAGTCATCCCTAGTCATCCCTAGTCATCCCTATGGCTGGGATGACATTCATCCCTAGTCAGCCCTAGTAATCCGCTGTCATCCCTTATGATCCTTAGTCATCCCAGTCATGCCTAGTGATCCCTAGTCAATCCTAGTCATCCCAGTCATCCCTAGTCATCTCTAGTCATCCCGAGTCATCCAGAGTCATTCCGAGTCATCCCTAGTCATCCCTTGTCATCCCTAGTTATCCCGGTCATGCCTAGTCATCCCTAGTCATCCCTAGTCATCCCACTCATCCCTAGTAATCCCTAGTCATCCCCAGTCATACCAGTCATCCCTAGTCATCCCTAGTCATCCCAGTCATCCCTAGTCATCCCTAGTCATCCCTAGTAATCCCTACTCATCCCCAGTCATTCCAGTCATCCCCAGTCATCCCAGTCATCCCAGTCATCCCCAGTCATCCCCAGTCATCCCTAGGCATCCCTAGTCATCCCAGTCATCCCTAGTCATCCCTAGTCATCCCTAGTCATCCCTACTCATCCCAGTAATCCGTAGTCATCTCCAGTCATCCCAGTCATCCCTTGTCATCCCATTCATCCCTAGTCATCCCTAGTCATCCCTAGTCATCCAAGTCATCCCTTGTCATCCCAGTCATCCCTAGTCATCCCAGTCATCCCTAGTCATCCCTAGTCATCCCTAGTCATCCCTATGACTGGGATGACATTAATTCCTAGTCATCCCTAGTCATCTCAGTCATCCCTAGTCATCCCTATGACTGGAATGACATTCATCCCTAGTCATCCCTAGTCATCCACAGTCATCCCTTATGATCCTTAGTCATCCCAGTCATCCCTAATCTAGACTGCAAAACAGTCCGTATTTTTGCGTATTCAAATACGCGCGAGCAGTCAAACAAAAGGTCTGCAATGAGGCTGAAAACAGAGAGCGAGACTGGGGAGAGACGCTAAAAATACGGACTGTCCGTTTTGCATACGTTATATTCGTTCGAATTACCCGCTTCTCCCAGCCACGGGCAATTCCCATTGGCTAAATTTCGATGCAAGCTGTCAAGTAATGTTTTCAACATGTCATTCACGTTGTTCCATACAGAGATGAATTGCTAAAGCTTTCGCTGCAAAATGACAGATGTTGATCGCCTGGATTTGCTCGCAAGAATTGGGATTTGTTTTAAAATCGGAGCAGAGGGAAGCTTTGGAGTTCCTACTCAGGGGAAAGGATGTTTTCTGTGTTCTACCAACAGGATTTGACAAAAGCCTTATTTATCGGATGTTTGTTCATGCAAAGAGTTCTTCAAGTTCCGTGCCACGGCTGACCGTCATTGTTATCTCGCCTGGCTAAAAAAGCGATCGGTAGGAAACACACGACTTTTACCTCATGCAAACATGCCGCTTGTTCCAATGAGTTGTTTTCTCTGTCGAGTAGATTATGCTTTGGAGGAAAACGTTTTGACTGAGCAAATGTGAATTTTGGCCGCTTTAAATATATTTCAAACTGAGAGGTCGTGACACGCATATTGATTTTCTCTGGTAGGCATGATTTGCCCTCTGACGCAAGAGCATTTTCTTTCTTGGCCCCTTTAGAAATGTAAAGCTCTTCATTGCGGCTGATTAAGGGTTTTAGGTTGTTTTATTTCTCCAAAGTGCCTCCTGGATTTGAATAATTTTAAGCGATTTTCTTTGTGTCCGTGAATGTGACTTTTTCCTGCAATATTTTGTCACGCTGGGCCCAGCTCGTTAGCGTTTTTGGCAGGATTTTAATTTTCACAGATAGTAATTTACAGAGCTAAATCACCAAAACGTGGTTTGGAATGAGGGATTTACTCATTCTCTTCAATCGCAATAATTGTTCATTGTCAGTTGGCGTGTTCAGTTCTTCTCTAATTTGCGAAAGCATCGCCGCACATTTCGGGGCAATTTCTAACCGTTGTTCATACGGAGAGCAAACTGCTCTTGTGGAGAAAGATTCTCCTTCCTCGGGGACAACGAAAAGTTCGTTTTTCAGTAGGTCGGCCCACTTTGGTAACGTTTCCTTTTTCTGGTAGGCGCAACAAACGCATTTTCCCGAGCTTATCCATCCATTCGTAAAATTGCCGAACTGTGTTTTGAAACAACAGCCGCACATTCTACAATTTGTCCAAAGCCCTCGGCTCTTTTCGGGCTTTCTCCTCTTGAGGAGCAGGCACAGGCTTTGTTGTCGTACTGCCACTTTCACTCATTTTTGATCCTCCACTATATATACTACATTTCACTATATACACTACATTTCACAGGGAACCAACGCTAAAAACTGCTTTGGAATTACTGGATTACAGCGTCAATAATAACACGCGAGTCTATCAAATTCACAAAGAGGGGCGGAGTTGCGAACAGATTTTTGACAGCTCGACGACATTTTTGAACCCCTGGTCGGAACGAACTCATTGTATGGAAAACGGACAGTCGGTTTTTTTCTGCTTCTCACCGCCCCACGGGCGCAGGAGGCTGCAAGGCTTGCGCAGAAGACTCTTACGCCCACGCCACCGATTTCTTTACTGATTTTGAGAAAAAAACCGACTGTTTTGCAGTCTATCCCTAATCATAACTAGTCATTCCTAGTCATCCCAGTCATCTCTAGTCATCCCTAGTCATCCTCAGTCATCCAGAGTCATCCAGAGTCATCCCGAGTTATCCCTAGTCATCCCTAGTCATCCCAGTCATCCCTACTCATACCTAGTCATCCCTAGTCATCCCAGTCATCTCTAGTCATCCCTAGTCATCCCAGTCGTCCCTAGTCATCCCAAGTCAAACCTGTCATCCCTAGTCATCCATAGTTATCCCTAGTCATCCAAGTCATCCCTAGTCATCCCTACTCATCCCTAGTCATCCCAGTGATCCCTAGTCATCCCTAGTCATCCCTAGTCATCCCTAGTCACACAAAAGCATCCCTAGTCATCCCTAGTTCTCCCAGTCATCCCTAGTCATCCCAGTCATCCCCAGTCATCCATTATCATCCCTAGTCATCCCAGTCAACCTTAGTCATCCCTAGTCATTTTTAGTCATCCCAGTCATCCCTAGTCATCCCAAGTCATCAATAGTCATCCCAAGTCATCTCTAGTCATCCCTAGTCATCCCAGTCATCCCTAGTCGTCCATAGTCATCCCGGTCATTCCTAGTCATAGCTAGTCATCCCTAGTCATCCCAGTCATCCCTAGTCATCCCTAATCATGCCTGTCATCCCTAGACTCCCCTAGTCAAACTTGTCATCCCTAGTCAACCCTAGTTATCCCTAGTCATCCAAGTAATCCCTAGTCATCCCTACTCATCCCTAGTCATCCCAGTGATCCCTAGTCATCCCTAGTCATCCCAGTCATCCCTAATCATAACTAGTCATTCCTAGTCATCCCAGTCATTCCTAGTCATCCCTAGTCATCCCGAGTCATCCAGAGTCATCCCGAGTCATCCCTTGTCATCCCTAGTCATCCCAGTCATCCCTACTCATACCTAGTCATCCCTAGTCATCTCAGTCATTTCTAGTCATCCCTAGTCATCCCAGTCGTCCCTACTCATCCCTTATGATCCCTAGTCATCCCAGTCATCCCTAGTCATCCCAGTCATCCCTAGTCATCCCTAGTCATCCCAGTCATCCCTAGTCATCCCTAGTCATCCCAGTCATCCCCAGTCATCCCTAGTCATCCCTAGTCATCCCAGTCATCCCTAGTCATCCCCAGTCATCCCAGTCATCCCTAGTCATCCCTAGTCATCCCCAATCATCCCAGTCATCCCTAGGCATCCCTAGTCATCCCAGTCATCCCTAGTCATCCCTAGTCATCCCTAGTCATCCCAGTAATCCCTAGTCATCCAAGTCATCCCTAGTCATACCTAATCATCTTTAGTCATCCCAGTCATCCCTAGTCATCCCTAGTCATCCAATTCATCCCTAGTCATCCCTAGTCATCCCTAGTCATCCCTGGTCATCCCAGTCATCCCTAGTCATCCCAGTCATCCCTAGTCATCCCTAGTCACCCATAGTCATCCCAGTCATCCCTAGTCATCCGAATCATCCCTAATCCTCGCTAGTCATCATTAGTCATCCCTATGACTGGGATGACATTAATTCCTAGTCATCCCTAGTCATCTCAGTCATCCCTAGTCATCCCTATTCATCCCTATGACTGGGATGACATTCATCCCTAGTCATCCCTAGTCATCCGCAGTCATCCCTTATGATCCTTAGTCATCCCAGTCATCCCAGTCATCCCTAGTCATCTCTAGTCATCCCGAGTCATCCCGAGTCATCCCGGGTCATCCCTAGTTATCCCGGTCATCCCTAGTCATCCCAGTCATCCCTAGTCATCCCTAGTCATCCCTAGTCATCCCCAGTCATCCCAGTCATCCCTAGTCATCCCTAGTCATCCCAGTCATCCCTAGTCATCCCTAGTCATCCCTAGTCATCCCTAGTCATCCCAGTCATCCCTAGTCATCCCTAGTCATCCCAGTCATCCCTAGTCATCCCTAGTCATCCCAGTCATCCCTAGTCATCCCTAGTCATCCCTAGTCATCCCTAGTCATCCCTAGTCATCCCAGTCATCCCTAGTCATCCCTAGTCATCCCAGTCATCCCTAGTCATCCCAGTCATCCCTAGTCATCCCTAGTCATCCCAGTTATCCCTAGTCATCCCTAGTCATCCCTACTCTTCCGTAGTCATACCACTCAATCCCAGTCATCCCTAGTAACCCCAGTAATCCCTAGTCATCCCTAGTCATCCCAGTCATCCCTAGTCATCCCTAGTCATCCCAGTCATCCCTAGTCATCCCTAGTCATCCCTAGTCATCCCTAGTCATCCCAGTCATCCCTAGTCATCCCTAGTCATCCCAGTGATCCCTAGTCATCCCTAGTCATCCCAGTCATCCCTAGTCATCCCTAGTCATCCCTAGTCATCCCTAGTCATCCCTAGTCATCCCAGTAATCCCTAGTCATCCCTAGTCATCCCAGTCATCCCTAGTCATCCCTAGTCATCTCTAGTCATACCAGTGATCCCTAGTCATCCCTTGTCATCCCGGTCATCCCTAGTCATCCCAGTCATCCCTAATCATCTCTAGTCATCCAGAGTCATCCCTAGTCATCCCATTCATCCCTAGTCATCCCTAGTCATCCCAGTCATCCCTAGTCATCCCTAGTCATCCCTTACAGTCATCCCTAGTCATCCCTAGTCATCCCAGTCATCCCTAGTCATCCCTAGTCATCCCTTGTCATCCCTAGTCATCCCTAGTCATCCCAGTAATCCCTAGTCATCCCTAGTCATCCAAGTCATCCCTAGTCATCCCTAGTCATCCCTAGTCATCCCAGTCATCCCTAGTCATCCCTAGTCATCCCTAGTCATCCCAGTCATCCCTAATCATCTCTAGTCATCCCAGTCATCCCTAGTCATCCCTAGTCATCCCAGTCATCCCTAGTCATCCCTAGTCATCCCTAGTCATCCTAGTCATCCCTAGTCATCCTAGTCATCCCTAGTCATCCCTAGTCATCCCTAGTCATCCCTAGTCATCCCTAGTCATCCCATTCATCCCTAGTCATCCCTAGTCATCCCAGTCATCACTAGTCATCCCTAGTCATCCCTTATGATCCCTAGTCATCCCTAGTCATCCCAGTCATCCCTAGTCATCCCTAGTCATCCCTTGTCATCCCTAGTCATCCCTAGTCATCTTAGTAATCCCTAGTCATCCAAGTCATCCCTAGTCATTCCTAGTCATCTCTAGTCATACCAGTCATCCCTAGTCATCCCTTGTCATCCCAGTCATCCCTAGTCATCCCAGTCATCCCTAATCATCTCTAGTCATCCCAGTCATCCCTAGTCATCCCTAGTCATCCCATTCATCCCTAGTCATCCCTAGTCATCCCTAGTCATCCCTAGTCATCCCTAGTCATCCCTAGTAATCCCTAGTCATCCCTAGTCATCCCTAGTCATCCCAGTCATCCCTAGTCATCCCTAGTCATCCCTAGTCATCCCATTCATCCCCAGTCATCATTGGTAATCCCTAGTCATCCCTAGTCATCACAGTAATCCCTAGTCATCACTAGTGATCCCTAGTCATCCTAGTCATCCTTAGTCATCCCTAGTCATCCACAGTCATCCCTTATGATCCCTAGTCATCCCAGTCATCCCTAGTCATTATTAGTCATCCCAGTCATCCCTAGTCATCTCTAGTCATCCCGAGTCATCCCGAGTCATCCCGAGTAATCCCTACTCATCCCTTGTCATCCCAGTCATCGCTAGTCATCCCTAGTCATCCCAGTCATCCCAAGTCATCCCAGTCATCCCTAGTCATCCCTATTCATCTCTAGTCATCCCCGTCATTCCTAGTGATCCCTACTCATCCCGGTCATCCCTAGTCATCCCTAGTCATCACAGTCATCTCTAGTCATCCCTGGTCATCCCTAGTCATCCCTAGTCATCCCAGTCATCCCTAGTCATCCCTAGTCATCCCTAGTCATCCCAGTCATCCCTAGTCATCCTAGTCATCCCTACTCATCCCAGACATCCCTAGTCATCCCTTGTCATCCCTAGTGATCCCTAGTCATCCCTAGTCATCCCTAGTCATCCTAGTCATCCCTACTCATCCCAGACATCCCTAGTCATCCCTAGTCATCCCAGTCATCCCTAGTCATCACAATCATCTCAGTCATTCCTAGAATTTCCTAGTCGTCGGAGTCATACCTACTGATCCCAGTCATCCCTGGTCATCCCAGTCCTCCTAGTCATCCCTAGTTGTCCCAGACATCGCTAGTCATCTCCGTCATCCCTAGTCATCTCATTCATCCCTAGTCATGGCTAGTCTTCCCAGTCATCCCTAGTCATTCCTAGGTATCCCTAGTCATCCCTAGTCATTCCAGTCATTCTTAGTCATTCTCAGTCAACCCAGTCATCCCTAGTCACCCTAGTCGCTAAAGTCACCTTAGTCACCCTAGTCACCCAAGTCATCCTAGTCACCTTTGTCACCCAAGTCACCCAAGTCACCCTAGTCACTTTAGTCACCCTAGTCACCCAAGTCACCCATGTCACCCATGTCACCCATGTCACCCTTGTCACCCTAGTCACTCTAGTCACCTAAGTCACCCTAGTCGCCTTAGTCACCCTAGTCACCAAAGTCACCCAAGTCACCCTAGTCTCCCAAGATTTGTTGTTTTTTTTTTCCATTTCAAGTAGCATGGTCATGATGTCAGACATGTAAGTTAAGGTTTTTAATAAAGGCTATTGTGGATAAGCTTCATGTTATCTTTGCTGGGACCAAAGGGATAACAGATGAGACCTTTATTACACTTGGTTCTAACTGTTATTAGAGATAGAACCTTTATTATGCTTGGGTCCAAATGGTATTACAGATGGGACCTTTCAGTTATTACACTTGCACCTCCTACACATGGGTGACTAGCATTACTATGTTGTCTAGGTTGACTAGGGTGACCTGTCAAAACCATATCATACAACCTTTTAGGTCTCTGTTGCTTCACAACCATTATGATCAAACACATGCAGTTTATCAATCTATGATTACTACTAGTAATGGTAGCTTTCCCTACCTTGCCTTCATCAATTTTTCCTTTCCTCATGTCCTGAAACAAAGTGTAAAACAATTCTTCACATGTTAATCATATGGAGCAAAAAAAAATTTCAACAGTTACAATAAACGAAAAATTTACTGACCCACCTCAAAAAGTCTAAGGGACTCCTCAATAGGCCGGTCCCGCCAAGGACTTGGAGGAGGGTTATAGCCTTTTATTTCTTCATATTCTTGGTGGCAGACATAAGCATCTCCCCTGCACCAGAACACAAAGCATAAAATTATTTTCTTCTCTTTGAATGAAGGCTAATATTACTAAGGGCCCATCTGCACTAGCAAAAAAGCTGTTCATTTAGACAAATGTTCTGTCATCATCAACGTTTAACAAGTGCAGATGGTTTGTCACCTTTTTTACAAATTTTGTTTGAGATAAGACAATCCTCAAAGGCACGGCAAACAAAATTTGCCCAAGTAAATACTGGAAAAATTGACTTAATATAAATGGAAATGTGTTTTTGTTGTCAATCATTTGTTGTAAAACCATTATTCTTGCCATTAACAAATGCAAGTTTATGTCAGATATAACAGCCTCTTGAGAATATATAATGTAGTTTACAGAGCAGATAAATTCTTTCAAAACAAAAATTACCACCAAACAATTTTGGGTTTTGATGATTATTTCAAAGACAATATTTTTACTTTGTCTGCTAAGCCAAAATGGCCCTAATCAGAACAATAAACATAAAACACTAAATAAATTTACAAATGCATCATTTTAGATCTTGCAAGTACTAGTATATTCAAATAATTCTTAGTACTAACATACATGTAGTACATGCACATATAATACCTTTTGATCAGTTCAACAGCAAAATCATACAACTTTCCAAAATTATCAGAAGCATGGGTAATTTTCCAAGGCTCAAAACCTGACAGAGAAGAAACAAGTCATGATAAGACAATGTCTAAGAACAGGACAATTGAGCAGTTTCACCTAACAGAATTACATTCCATGCCAAAGTGGAATCTCGATACAACAAAACTAAATTGTAACTTTAACAATATTCTCCGTATTAATAATTAACAATAATTATTTTTCTCCTGTAATAGTAAAATATGAGGAAAAGAACCTTGTTATAGTGAACATAGCTTGCCAATCCCTTAGTCTTTCATTATACCAAGGTTTCACTGTAACAACCGTCACTAAAACATGTGAGCAAAGTTTTAGCCAGAAGGGTGTCCAGCTGTCCTTTGGAGGCCCATTTTTGAAAGAAATACAAGGAAAATTCACTTTATCTCTTATAATTTTATGGGAAAACAAGCCTTCTGGTAAGCCAGTTTTCAATGTCCGGCTAAAAGCCTGCATGTATGACTTACAAAATCATTATTTGAAAACACAAAGAGTTAGGGAAATAAATAATTATTGTTGTAAATAATATGCTGCTGCTTTTATGCTATTTACCTAGCCATTTAACCATGTCAAGGATTCCTGTGAAAAACTTTTCCTCCTCTTTTTCTGGATTGGTGTCGTCGTATCTCAAGTAACACACACCATTGTGAGCCTACAAAGCAATCAAAAAACGAATTTTACCAGAGGTGTTTACAAGTAAATTTTACCAGAATTTTAGCAGATGCTAACAAGTTAATTCGAATTCAATCAGAAAATTTTGGAGGGTTGGAAGAAAATGTGGGAGAGTACTAAAAATTAATGTGAAGAAAGAGTGGGAAGCAGATTGGCAGAATGGAAAAATTGGAGAATGGTAGAATGAAAAATGAGGAAGACTATAAATGAGAGAATAATAAAATGGAGGAAAAGGTCAAAGAGAAAATGCAAACTGGATCAATGATACAAGAAGGATTCATGAATTCAACTGATCAATAATTGTCTTACCCTTGCATAGCCAAAGTTGAAGTTGATGGCCTTTGCATGGCCAATGTGAAGAATGCCATTAGGTTCAGGAGGAAATCTTGTCTGGACCTATATTATTTATTTTAGAATACATGTGTTACGTAAAATAATATTAAAAATACAGTCAACACTTATTCGCACGAAACTGAATATAACGTGTTTATGATCCCAGAAGCAACCACAGGTTAAGCAACCATATTTGACATCAATAACTTGTGACAGTAATTCAACTTTTAAATTTTAACCCAGGTTTCATTTTCTTTTGTTCAAAAGCATTTTTCCGGAAAATTTTCTCCATTTTAGAGCATCAAATCATCAAAATTGTAGAGAAAAACAATAAAACTGAACTTGCTTTTTAAGCTTTCATATCTGACTTGAAATTCTGCACAAACCCTGCTTTGAACAACCCAGCCCTGGTCAATACACTGTACATAAGAAAAATGTTTTTTTCAGCTAGGGATACAGGCAGCTTGGAAGAAAAACTCTTTGTACTCAGGGTGTTCATTAAGTGTTGGAGATTGGAGAATTCTCTGTTACTTCACAAAATTCTCCAGCTAATGTGTGATAGCCTATGACTATTTTCTATTCAGCCATGGAGCCTCTTTCACAATATTCTCCTGTAAAGTTATATCTTTCACCTGCTACTAGAATTCTTAGTGAAAACCCTGAGTACTCTCAACAGGGGTGAAACCTATGACCTGCTGGTTACCAGACCAGATGTTCTACCACTGAGCTAATAATAATATTATAGATATTGATATTCTTGACTACACTCCCATCAAAATTCAATAACTTTTTTTTCAATGAACGACCAAATAAATAATTATAATACGAGGAGTGCACAATCTTTTCGTCCCCACTATGCAGAAACAATACCAGGCAGTTTTCTGTTTACTTTCAAGGTCCAAAGTTTTATAACTCTCTGAATGCTAAGATAACTAAATCTTCCTCCTGTGCAACTTTTTAAACAAAGCTTAAAGAATTTCTTCTCAATAGGTATTAACTTAATATTGCTTTCAGCTTTAGTTACTTTTATTTTTGTAAAAGCTTGTACATTGTACTACTTTTGCTGGTCCACATTATCATCGCGTTTTTTAGTTCTGAGGAAGGTTTCCTCACCATCTGCTTCCTTTAACTTTCTTTATAATTCAACTTTATTGTAATGATGTATGTTATGGCAAATTAATGGGAATGAACGAGGACACTAACAAGTGAATGACACTGTCGACTACATAATTATACTTAAGCCAACCTACCCTTCCCCCTGTTCTTTCCAAATGTTCCTTCATTAATTGCATAGTCTTTGGGGTGACGACAAAACCAGGAGTCTTGTAGTTTTCACCTGTGTGAACAAACACAAGAAGGACCATCGTTATAAGTAATAAGAGGCAAGTTTACCTTGATTTTCATTCGACATGGCTAATAAGTAGCCACTAAGAACGTTCCCTCTACTCTTTAAACAGTGGTGTGGGTTCTTTTATGTCCCACAAAAACCAGTAAAGTGAATGAGCTGGGAGATGGGAACTATGGATTTGCATGTTCATCCAAGAAGATTAGAAAGTCTAACTGTTTGAAGATGTCATTACAAAGGCAGCATTTTCTTCTCAGTTATTTAACGATCCTGAGTGTTGGTCCGGCTAGGGTTTGAACCTGCTACCTCCCAGCCCCGCTCAGCAGACCAGTGCTCTCCCAACTGAGCTAACCAGGTAGGGGTGTGAATGACACCCAACATGTCATTCTTGTTGCAGCCCGAAACTAAACAAAGAATTATCCCCTATAACTCGAAAACTGACTGCATACATATAATCGACAGAACAAGCATAACAGAAAACTGAGGAATTTCTTTACTTTCAGATGATCTCCGTGACTTTGCAATATTATTGTATTCATGAACTGTTGTTAATAACAACTACAACAACTTATCAGTAATAGTATTATAATTAATACATTGCATTAATTAATAGATTGACTGGTTTAAGGAGAACTAAGAGACCTGAGGACCATGTTTTTTTTTTTTTTCACTTTTAGATATTCTTAGTTTTATAATATTCTAGCCTCATCAAAGCATTATTCAGTATACATGCAGCAGCAAAAAGGTGGAATAAATGATATTCACTGATTCATCTTAGAAATGTATGATTAAGGCTTTGTTCGCACTATGCCAGATAGCTTTTGTGCCAGCACAAAAACCATACCAGTTGGGGCTTCTCACATGAGAGCGCATATTTCTGTAATGGAGCTTAGCTACACTACACCAATCTCTTAAGTGAAGGGTCACATATTGGATGGGTGTTCACACGATACTGGATCTACAATCATGGACAAAAGTCTTGTGACACTTTTGCGTTTCTGGGGCGTTTTCCGATTCACACAGGTCCGACCCCTACCCTCACCCCACAAACAATGTTGGATGCGTGTATCCAGAATTTTTTTTCAGAGTTTCCACTTTGTATAGGGTGGGGGGAGGGAGAACTGCAAGAAAAAATTTCGAAAAGAATGCACTGTTTAAAGAGGGAACCGAGAAATGACAGAGAAATATGAATACTTCAGTACTGTTCCAAGGACTTTTGTCCAGGATTGTACATAGCTTTTCATGTCGGCACTGCAAAAGCCATCTGGTAAAGTGTGAATACAGCCTAAGCACATTTAATTATCTTTGTCAACAACACGTCCTGGTAAAAAGAGGACTAGACCTTTAAAAAGGATGTCGGAAAAATGACTTGAGGAGTTATGTAACAGTCATTACCTGGTTTGTGAAACTTGCTTGCCTCTCCAAAAAGAGAGTTTGTATCTTCATCCTCGGCTTCTCCATTTACTAGCAGAAACAAACGTTTCAATGAAACCATAAGCTCAGAACTATTTCAAGAAGCTGCTATTAATTCAACATCTTTTTGCTGTTAACCAAAACAAATTGAACAGGACACAGCCATTACAAGATGCCCACACCAGGTAACATAAGACTCCACAACAAGCTGCAAAACAAACTGGTCTACAGCCAGTTAGGAAACTGCAGTTATTTTCAGTTTGGTTCACAAACTTATGAGCAAGAAAATTGTCAGCAGCAAACAACGAGGAGAGGCTACTGTTCACACACTAGTACAGTACTGTACAGTGTACATAACTATCACAAAAGAGAAGCCTCTTTTCTCAGGGTTATAAAAGTTTAATTACAGAGCTGTCACCAAGGACCAGGGTCTGGGGATTTGATTGATTTTCAGTGAGCAAGACCCTGGGCTACACTGTACTTTCATAGCAAACAAACGAAAAATAAAACTTCCCCAAACTGTTCCAATCCCTGTTTACTATGGCTACTGCTACGAACAAGACCAGGAGCAAGGATGGCACAGTTGGTTAGTGCGTGGCCTTCGGTGCTCAAAGTCTCAAGTTTGATCCCCAGTGACATCATATACTTGTTTCCACTTCTCTCCAAGTTTCTGTGTAACTTTGACTAGCTTTAAATACCCTTAAAACAGAGCATTGATGGAGTTATCGACATAAAATGTGGTTGCTTTATTTTTCTACTTTTTGACCCCAGCTACTTTCATAGCAAACAAAAGGAAAATAAAATCAAAAGAATTTTTCCTCAAGCTATTCAATTACCCACCTACAATGACTATACCCTATAACTTGAAATCTTAGGGACAGCCCTGAATCAAATGTACTTTGCTTAATTATTTCTTATTTAGTACCAAGAAATGCAATACCTTGCAATTCTGCAGAGACTGAAGAAGATTCCTTTGTCTTCTTCCCTTCTTTATTGTTTTTGGGTTCCTTTTGATATCAGAATAACATAAATAATACATCAGAATAAAGTTCAGTGGTTTTGCTACAAATAGTTAAGGTGAGTCCTGGGACTCATCCTGTGAAAAATAATAAATCATGAATGTCTACACAGGGTGCAAAGAAAGTCAGTTTTACAGCCTGCCATTCGGGAAAGCTGTAGCTAGCATGTACTAGCCCGGAAGTCATTTCGACTAGCCCCAAAATCCTTTTTGATTAGCAGGATTGATTACAATCCTTCTGTAATTTGAATTTCCCCAAGAGACATTACTTGCCCGTCGGGCAAGTTAAGAACAAAAATCACTAGCCTGATAGCAAAATCCACTAGCCCCAGGCTACTGGACACGACTTTCTTTGCACGCTGCTACAGAAAGGAATGACAAATACTTAAGTAGTACTGTACTCATACTTTGGTGTTTGTCTTTTGCATGTCTTCTTCAGTTTTTGGTCCCAACAAATCTAAAATCTGCAAACAAAAATTTTAAAAATTCATTCATAAATTTAGCAGAAGGCCTTAAACCAAAAATAAATCAATATGCAAAAATTTTATACATGTATTTGGAGCAGTCTATTTAATTTACAATGACAAGAAATTTAAGTAGTTATTGCAGGTATAAAAAAAATTGGTACATGCACTATTCTATAACAGTTCAAATGGTACAGCTGAACATAACTTTACCTGCATGTCAATTTCTGATTTGATGGCTTTTCCATCTGCCCATTTTAATTTCTCCCTGGCTTTGCCTAAAATAAAAAAAGAGAATAGAGACTTGATCTGCAATTTTTTTAATGACTACTTAGTTTCAATCCATTTTTTATTTTTTAAACAAAAGAAAATGAAATTCAAACCAAAGATGTATGATAAAATTAAACGACAACCTATGGGTCACCCATAAAATTCTCTTCCCTCCTTGTAACTAATAAAAAATAATAGTTATAGCAGCCCCCTTGAATATTAGTGTCATTTTGGCATGTATTGGAATTTATTATATCAAAAGCTGCACCATTGCTGGAAGAAAAAAGACTTCCTAAACTTTGTTTAAAATATATACCTTTATAGTCACCAAAAAAATAATTCAATATGTATCATTTTATTGCAGGCGTCAAGAGGAGCCCCCAATCCCAATCTCCAGGTTGCTAATATGCATGAACAGCACTTGCTGTATGTGGCCGGCATTGTTTGGACCTCTACTAAGAATGAATGGAATGCACAGAAGCAATCTGATCATGCTAATTTGGACCTTCTATCACTCGTAATCTGATCATGTGTGTTTGGCCATCTATCACATGACAAATTAAGCAAAGTGCACCACTGCATCGTAGCTAGCCTGCATGGCAGGTATAATTAACCTGGGTTAGTGACGTCTGCAATGCAGCACCTTTGTCCTTGTTCTGGGCTCCCAATGAACTTGATGAATTACAGGAAGAACATTTCGAATTTCCTTTCATCTTGATTGGCAAATCAATAATGACATTATTTTTTCACAGGCCACTCATGGCACGTACTCAAATCCTGTTATACAGGTGGGTGGGGACCCATTCAAGGATTTCGCTACTGGTTCACAGATGGACTTAACCAGAGTTTAGTTTCATCTGCAGCACAGGCTAAATTGTGGCACAAGCATTTTGAGCTTTGATCATTGTCACCTGCACTCTATTATAATAATGTCATTAATATTTAACAGTTATTCCTTGAGCCCGAATGGGCTCCGAGTCAATAGCCCATGAGGCCAAAGGCCAAATGGGCTATTGACTCAGAGGCCATAAGGGAGAGACGAATAGTATTGCTTTAGTAAAATCCAACTACAGTGCAGTTGGTCAAAAATATCGAGACAAAACAACTTTAGCCAGCAAAACGTTATTCAGCCGCCATATTGTTTTGGTTTTCAAAGCCAGCGTGTTTCGCTACAAGTGGGCTATAACGCATAGCCTAGTAGTAGCTCAACCAAGCAGAACGCAGCACTGATAATAGACCACTAGTCGGATTTTACTAATAATTATAATATATCTTTTGAAAGGTTCCGAGAATCAGAGCCAACTGGCCAGAATATTCCCTCCTGACTACGTGTATCATACACAAAAATGGATAATTCCTTGAAATAACTTCCTTTTTACTCACCCATTATCATTCCAACATTAAACTTGTACCGCTTCTTCAACAGCTCATCTTTGTGCTTTTTTATCAGTTCTTCAACCTGCAAATAAAATTATAAAATTTTAATCACTATAAGATTAATGCAGGGCCCAGATGAAAATTACTTTGTGTAATTCTGGTTTTCACCCTGTCTGAATAAAGTCTTGTTGTTGTTATTGTTGTTGTATAATCATACAAAATTTAAAGTAAATTTGTTCAACCTGCATGTATATGGTTTTGAAAAATATCTTACTAGAAAAATGAATGTACATCTAGGGTTCTTCAGAGACTCTAGTGACCAACAAAAATTGTCAAAAAGTTGCCAAAGGTGAACCAGCTACATTCACAACATGGCTGTGATCTGGATCTGACTTTCAACCAAATCAATTGTCACCAACTTTACCTTTTACTTCAATTTCTCCAAGAGCTCCGACATACATACTGTACATGCAAAATTTCTTAAGCTAGGGATTCTGATAGTAACACTCTGCAAGATAAACTAGATGTGTGTAACCTAAACTTTAAGGCTGCAAGGTCCCATTCCTATAGGCGGGTTAAAGGAGCACTTCTGTATGCTGTAAGTTAAGGGTGTGCATGTACTTACACAATCTTCAATTTGGTCTGGTGTAATATTAACTCCAATGCCACAACTGTCCTCAAAAGCTGCCACATTAACTGGTAAAACTGGATGGGACTTCATATACTCCACAGCAGCTAAGAGAAAAAAAAGAAAACATACCATCAAAACTGGATGTAATGTATAATACACAGGGCACGAATTTGAGTCTAATGTTATAGGTATATTATTTGTGACCTTCTTTGGGAGAGCAAACGATAATCCATTAACTGTTAGAAAATTATCAGATGGCTACCGGCTTTTCTTACTAACACTCTAACAGTTTGCCAAAATGCTATACCAGTTTGTCCAAACACTCTAACAATATGTTTTAATGCTCCAACGGATTGCTCTTACAATCTAATGGTTGATTCTAAACAGTTAATGATTGGTCTGTCTAAAGTTTGACTTTTACTTGTAATTCAATGGTGTTTAATTCTTCAAATAAAACCTCTTTGGCAGTACTTTTGCATTGTAAACTGTTAACTCCTGACAGTTTTTAGGTAATTATTATTTCCTTGAGACACATTTGGCCAATATAAGGAGCAAGAGGGTTGTTTCCTTTAGTGTTGCAGACAAGTATGATCACCAATGATGAAACTTAAGACAAAAGATTGAAAAGACACTGAAAAATACGGACAACACATCACAATTAAGCCAACCAATGATAGTTTCTCCAACACCCACAAAAAATGAGCTACATACATATACTACATACATGTACAAAGCAGACATTGACACATGGAACTGTAATATTACCATAGAATGAAATTAAAATCCTGCATTCACACTATCCTCGTTCGGTAATAAAGATTCATTTCACTCTTTATACTTTGCATACTGTACCATATGAATCAGCTAATTAACCCTTTAAGCCCCAGTATACACATGCAAATTCTTCATACTGGTCCCCTTTTCATTGAGGGATTACTAGAGAGTTTGACCAAAGATTAAAGTATTTCCTTCTTAGTGATTACTCTATTAATATCATAGGTGACGAATAATCCTTAATTTTGGTGCAAAATATCAGCCATAATTTGTGAAATTACAAAATTGCCATGACAATTTTCCGTACGTCATGAATGAAGATGTCAGGGCATAAAAAGACGCTTTAGAAAACCTGAACACACGAAAGAGCAAATCAAGGAGGATTCTAACAGGCATTTTGTCAAAAAATTCTGAACTTAAGCCAAATTTAAGCTCTAAACATTCGTGAGAGTGGAGTTCTCGATCGATTCGATCCAGGATAAACATGTCAAAAATCCAAGATTGCTAACATAATTCATCACCCATGATATTAATAGGTAATCAAAATGGTATACTCATGAAATTAGGGAATAACTTCACTTGCATTTTGTCCAAATCCTTGTCCTTGGACAAAACACATGTGAAATTATTCCCTAATTTCACTCGTCACCATTTGATTACACATACTAATTCTCCTAACCTTTTTTCTTCATAATCAATGGAAAATGTTAGCAGAAAATTGATGTTGGTCACCATACGGACTTAAAGGGTTAACTTACTTCCACATCTGAGGAAAAAAAATGTTAATAGCAACTGCTTGAAGCTTTGTGCAATAGTAAATGTTCTACACACCTGTCAACTGTATTGATGAATTCAATTTTTTGTTAGCAATGTATTCCGCGACAAACTTGACTTGCCAATCTTCCTTTACACCTCCGCTAGCCAGAGAGTACAAAAGCACCCCAGTAGGTTTTTCAACATCACCAGGACTAGTTTCTTTTGCCTTTCATGAAAACATTAATACAAATTTTTGTAAACAAACAAAGACACCAAAAATAGTATTCTAATATTATTATACCCGGTACAATTTTCAAATATTATTAGTACATGTACACCCCTGGAGCACATCCGACTAGTCTGATAAGGAGAGAATGAATTCTGAGAGACCAGACCAGACCAATACTAAACCACCGGTAACTATATTTAAAGAACACTTTGAGAGCGTTTTAACGACTTGCGAGTCCTGTGCTGCTCGTCGTAAAATAAACTATGTCTGTGTATAATTATGTCTGTGTACTGTTTTTTGGCTTAATGAGATGGAAATGAGTCGAGACAAGGATATCCTTTGTTCTGTAATTTAGGCCGGGTATTCTGCAATCATTCCCAATGTAACGTTACTTCCTAGCACTGTTTTCCTTTTAACCACGATGCGAACAAAAATCAAGAAGAAACCTTTGAGCCTACACATAAGCTTAACCTTAACCTTGCACACTATTGCATCAGCTCAAAGTTCTAAATTAAAGTCGTTTCACTTCATCTCAGGAGGTTTCTGTTCTGTTTCCACATGCACATCGGCGTTGCATAAAGTCCAAGCCAAATTTTTTCACAAAATTTCTTCCGATTACAACAGAAATTCGAGATAAATTTTGCATTTACCTGTTGAGTACAAAAATCAAAGAAATGAACAAGATTTTACGTTCTTACCAAATTTATGATGGATTCCAGTCGTGTAGAAAGAGCCTCATTCTTCAGCGTTTCTTGGGTTTTCTGTTCACTTAGACCGATGCTCTGGAAGAGGGATGCTCTGTCCATCACTGAACGTAAAACAACAACAGGAGAACCTGTAAAACGACGAGGAAATGAAGAAAGCCGAGAGCTACCAACACGACAAAACAGCCACATGCACGAAGTTTTATTTTATAGGATGAGTACTTGGTAACCGCGTACTAACGGAAAAGACTGGATACCATTCTTCGGACGGAAGTGCTTTTGCATTCGACTTTCAACATGCAAATTTCAGACATAAAAAGGTCAGTGACGTAAAGCGAATTCGAATATTTTTAAAACCACACTTTTTTAGACAAATCGGCCTTTATACTTCCACACGAAACTAGTGCACATTTTTCCACGTTACATGATTATTGCAAGCGTTCTTTTAAATATTATGTGGAAAGTTTAAGCCGATAAAAGAAGTTTTAAGGTGATTCCTTAGTAAAAGGACCTAACATAAGTTGTAGATGAAACTTGGTACACCAATGTAAAAAGTCAGGAAGATGATAAAAAAAAGTAATAAACAGTGGGGGTCACCGTGCTTGTTTTGACGTCAAAATGCTGACAAATACGGCTGTTTAGGACCCTTTGACAAAAACCGCGCGCAGCCCAAAACTAGACAAAAAGGAGAGATTTCTTTTGTAACACAATGTAACATCCTGTTACACTCTCTAACACCGTGTAGCACCATGTAACACCATGTAACATCCTGTAACACCGTGTAACACCATGTACATGTAATACCCTGTAACACCGTCTAACACCCTGTAACACCATGTAACAGCATGTAACACCCTGTAACACCATGTAACACCATGTAACACCCTGTAACACCATGTAACACCTTGTAACACCCTGTAACACCGTGTGGCACCTAGACTGCAAAACAGTCGGGTTTTTTTCTCAAAATCAGTAAATTAAGAAATCGGTAAAGCGTGCCGTAAGAGTCTTACGCGCACGAAGGGAGCGAGCCTCACACGTCCGTAGGACGTGTGATGCGAGTGAAAAAAACCGACTGTCCGTTTTCCATACAATGAGTTCGTTCCGACCTGGGGGTTTAAAAATGTCGTCGAGATGTCAAAAATCTGTTTACAACTCCACCCTCTTTGTGAATTTGATACGCATGTTATTGTCAGCACTTGGCTTCGAACGTTGACGCTGTATCCAGTAATTCTAAAGCAGTTTTTTAGCATTGCTTCTCTATGAAATGTAGTATATAAAGTGGAGGATCAAAAATGACTAGAAGTGGCAGTACGCCAACAAAGCCTGTGCCTGCTCCTCGAAGAGGGAGTACGCTGAAAGAGCCGAGCGCTTCGGATAAATTGTAGAATTTCAAAACACAGTTCGGCAATTTTATGAGTGGATGGATAAGCTCGGAAAATGTGTTTGTTGCGCCTACCAGAAAAGGAGGTGTTAACACAAGTGTTACACAGCGTTACAGGGTGTTACATGCTGTTACAGTCGTTACAAGGTGTTATAGGGTGTTACATGATGTTACATGGTGTTACAGGGTGTTACATGGTGTTACACGGTGTTACATGGTGTTACACGGTGTTACAGGGTGTTACATGGTGTTACATTGTATTACAGTGTGTTACAGGGTGTTACAAGGTGTTACACGGTGTTACAGGGTGTTACAGGGTGTTACATGGTGTTATATGGTGTTACAGGGTGTTACAGGGTGTTACATGGTGTTACATGGTGTTACATGGTGTTACACGGTGTTACATGGTGTTACACGGTGTTACATGGTGTTACATTGTGTTACAGTGTGTTACATGGTGTTACAGGGTGTTACAAGGTGTTACACGGTGTTGCAGGGTGTTACATGGTGTTACAGTGTGTTACATGGAGTTACAGGGTTTTACATGAAAAGAGATGGTGTTGTACACGGTGTTGGGTGTAACACGGTGTTACAGGGTGTTACATGGTGTAACTGGGTGTTACAATGTGTTACATGGTGTTACTAGGTGTTACAATGTGTTACACGGTGTTACAGAGTGTTACAGCGTGTTACAGGTTGTTAAAACAGCTCTCCACCCCAGATATAAGCCCACCTTCAAATGTATGGCCTACACTTAATTCCATCCCCCAAACTGACTTTGACACATTAATGATTCGTACACAAAGTAGTGTTAGGGTTAGGGTTAGGGTTAGGGTTAGGGTTTGGGTTAGGGTTTGGGTTAGGGTTAGGGTTAGGGTTAGGGTTAGGGTTAGGGTTATATATTTAAATCAAACTGGTATTCATCACCAAATCCTCGGTGGTGTAGGGATTAGAGTGATGCGCTCCAGATCGGATGGTCCGAGTTCGAATCCTACTCATTCTATCCTGAGTTGTTTTTTTCCTTAAAAATTGAAGACACTTTGACTTTTATGAACATTTCATCAAGAACTTTCATATAAGAAAAGTGAAATGTGTTGTGAGAGGAGGATGTCAGTTTGGTGGATGGAATCAAGTGACGACCCAAATGTATTGAGTTCGCCACTTTAGAAAATACCATAATAATCTTTTTTTGCCCCCCACCCTCCCCCCAAAAAAAAATTTTGCATAACCGTCGTTTTCAGTTTCTCTTGGGACGATCAACTGAAAACAATGGTTATGCAAAATTTGGAGGGGACAAAAAGGTTATTATGGTATTTTCTAAAGTGGCGAATTGGATTCGATTAAATTATGACGTTTGGAAGCGTTGATTAAAACGTATTTTGATCAGCACTGCTATAGCTTGTTTTGAAGCGCTTTGTTTATTTTTCTAAGCCTTAGTAAAACCCCTTACGAAGCAGGGGTTATAGAGGGTTGTTACGGTAGCCGTCAGGGGCCCATTGATGGGCTCCTGTAGCCGTTTGCTCACCTAACAAGAGGCAACGACGCGACGGCAACGAGAACGACGTCGGCGCTTAAAGAGTGAGTTTGCGTTCTTTCAGTCTTTATTGCCAGTCTGCTAGACTTTCTCAAAGTCGTTCACTTGGTTTTCTGGGGCCCGTTTCTCGAAAGTCCCGATAATTAACGGGCCCGGTAAGCTGTCGCCGTTTGCATTAAAGATCGAGGTTTGAATAGTTTTGCATCTAGCATGATAAAACCATCACTTAGTGAAACAAAATGGAGTAGTCTGCTAGCTGGGACCCGCGCTCTTATTCTTTATATTTCGATTTGAATATTTGATTTCGGGCCCGAAAAGTTACCGGGACTTTCGAGAAACGGGCCCCAGGTCTGGTGTGGTAGGACCCGGTACGCTCGACTTGTGAGCAAGTCTACCAGTCTGCCTATCAGCTTGTCAGCCTGTCAGGGTCAGCGGGGTGGAAGTGAGGATATTTAAGCGTTTAGTTTAATTCTTCTCGAGGAATGAGGAGATGATGGGTCAAGACTACCAATGTCCACAATTACAAAACTGGACTGCAAAGCAATAGACTAAAACCATATTCCGTTTAATTTCATGTACTTATGTTGCTTTAACGTTGTATGGTATCAAATAAAAGCTTTTGTCAACATCTATATTTTTCCTTTTCTGCCAATAATTGAAACTGCGTTAACTACTCCACGAATCAAATTTGAGGAAAACGTTTTTGAATACAAACTTCATCAAGTAAAAAAGTACCAGGTGCTAAAAATTACAATGTACACATTAATACGATTGCAATAGAGATGTTACACCTCTAACAACTAAAAAAGAAAAGTTTATCATTTTTCAATTTTAGATTTAAAACTCTTCCTTATGTTTTCTACGTACAAAACGAATCTCATTAACGTGCCTCTGTGCTTTAAAAAGTTAAATAAATACATCACTATACTGTATATTCAAAGAACATGGAAGAGAACATAGTTTGCATTTCAGTAGCGGACTCAACTCCCTTTTCGAATCACATGACTTGTATATTCAGATCAGGGCTTTTCTGGACATCCCCTACAAAAGAAAAGAATGAAATTAAGATCAACGTATGGCGTGGTTCTGTCCGAACCAGTGCATTTTTATATAAAATGCTAACTCATCGACCCAATGATCTCCCTGGTTGTCTTCAGCATACCAAGGCATGCGCACATATGTATGCTGATGACACCACAATATATGCATCCTCCCTATCAACAGACCTATTCGGCTAACTCAATGTTGTACCCAATTCAAACCCTTTGGGAAAAAAACGTTTTGTTTCAGGAATTTCCATCATTTAAATGAGAATGTCACATTATAATGCAAATACAATACACAAAGAATCTTAACCCCAGGAGATTTGAATTGGGTACAACATTGAGTTAGCTGAATAGGTCAACTGCTGAACTATGCATTTGCTAAGGTAAACAGTGACCTTACACGCTAGCAAAGGCAGTGGAGCGTTTTGAAGCGAGGAGGGATCATCTTTCACTCAGCCATGGCATACCCTTACTCACATTTTCCAAAATACACTTTGCGTGCTTTTCTCTCGCAGAAGGAACCCTTTTTGCAATCTCCACACTGACAGAGTCTAGTGTGTCCATAATCAATTTGTGAAAATGCATCAGTAGGCAGTTGTTCTGACGGTCCTGCTTCATGGTGCTTCTTAGGTACGGTCCTTGAGTCATTTGAGGGCAGAAAATGTGCACTCTGAAGCCTTCGAAGTCGGGTATGATGTCAAATATATTCGTAAGATTTTGTGGACCTCTCCTAACAATGTTCCCCCCACCCCCTAAAAAAATTTATATTTGGGGGCTACGGACCCCTGACCCCTCTCCTGCACCGCCGCCTATGGTTAGAGATTGGAGGAGGAATTCTGTGGAATTTGTTACCAAGCGAAATAAAGGCATCCGAAACAAAAGCTATTTTTGGAAGAAAACTGGCCAATATGCAAGCAAACTGTTGACTATAGATTTTGTCGTCTCTGTTTAAAGTATTTGTAGTATTTACTTCTGTCAATACGGCTTTGACGAAAAGAAATTTTGTAACTTATGAAATTACCGTATTCAAATAAAAGTATACTAATCAATCAATTAATCAATTTTATCTGCTTGAGTTTGGCAATTTTTGATAGAGCAAAGTTTATTTTAAAATAAAAGGCGTCTGGTTAGTTAAACTATATCTTCCCTTCTTCAGTTGCTTCTTTCTTTCTCTGTTCCTCTTCTTTATTTTTTTTTTACCCTTACAGACTGACGTTAATAAGTGCTTTTCATTTTAAAAGCACTGAGACTGTTTTCGTATTTCACCTACCTGGTGCTTACTACATAGGACATCTAGCTACTTCCACAGAATTGCAGAGTTACATCATCTCCAATGAGTACAAATGGAGCCCAGTATTTTATTTCACTGAAGTCTTCAGATTCCCTCATGCATCTCATGGCTCGGTTCAGAGATTCACTGGCACTTTTACCCTTCACCAGATGTTGATAAAAGTGTTTCATGAACTCCAGCGTAGCTTCGTCGTCAATGGCCCACAGTGTGACAAGAACAGAACGAGCACCGGCGCCTATAAATGCACGCGCGATACCAACCACACCTTCAGCCTTGATCTCCCCACGACCGCTATGACAGCAACTAAGCACAACCAGCTTCGCTTGCAGCTTGGCGTCTAGCACATCTTTCATCGTTAACAAATAATCTTCATCTTTAGGGATCCTGGATTCTCGTGAAGGGTTCGGAGACAGGGCAATCTCTCCAGCTTGCATTCGACCATGCGCCGCGATGTGTACTAGCTGAACCGTTGAAAGGCGTTTCAACACTTCATTCTTCGAAGCGTCTTTTCCAGTTAGGGGTATAACATCGAGAATTTTGCCAATCATATCTACCTCTTCTTTGGCGCTTGGCAACTCCTCCAGCTTTATCCCATTCGCAGGAACAACGTCCTGCACCCAAGGATCTCCCACAAGCAACGCAGTAGGCTTGACATGATCTGTTGGACGATCGCTGATCATTTTCAAGACAGTCAACGACGGGGCAACCCTTATTCTAAACGATTCAAACAGAAAACTAGAATTTGAGTCCATGAATGCAGCAAAAGGAGCCAACCACAATGGACCCTCAGGGACAATGATTATCTCATCACCATGAATCAGGTCTGCTATCGGGTCGATTATGATATCATATAATCTCCTTAACTGATGTTCCTGTGACTGCAACGATGTTTTATCACACGGGGGCTCTTGGTCCAGAGCCTTACTGCGACTGTGCAGGTTTTCCAGCGAGCGATCTTCGCATTTTATAGTACCTCTTACACCAATGGCATCAAACGTACTGTCAACGAATCTCTTGACGGAATTGAGAACGTCGCCGTGTGCGTTAAAATCTCCGGCTTCTTTTGCTCTTTTGTACACATTATTGTCATTTTGAATAACCCATGTATTTATAACGCCTACTTGGAAAGCAACAAAAATTGTGTTGCAGGGAATGCCACAAAGTGTGTCATCAGGTGTCTCTTTCTCCGCACTTTGATTCGCGTCAGTTGTTAGAATTCCATAATGGGATTTCAAAAGATCTTTTAAAGCTTGCGCTCGTCCCTCCTCAGCAGCACAAAGAGCCTCTACAGGCCTGTCCAGTTTCAACAAAATCCTACTCAAAGAAGTGAATATGTGTTGGTACAGTTCTCGTAGGCTGATTTTCCATTCATCTTCTGATTCAAGACGATCCCTAACATCATAAAACGCCTTTAAGCTGGCCTGAAAATATTCGAGAGCCTCGGGAAGGGAATCTGTCGATTCAAAAATGGAACCGAGGTTGGCATACGCGTTTCCTATCTCAACCTTATCTTCCACTTCTTTGGCGATTTTAAGATGCAGCTCCGCATAATGCTTGCCTTCAAGTTTATTTCCAGAACAAAGATAAGCCTTAGCAAGATTACCATATGCTTTTCCTTCTACAGCCCTTTCTTTAACTTCTTGGGCGATTTTAAGATGAAGTTCATAGTAATCTATCGCTTTGGTGTAATCTTTGAGTTCACAACAAACATGCCCAAGATGACCATAAGCGCGCCCTTCTCCAGCTCTATCTGTTACGGCCTGAGCAATTTTCAAACGGAGGTTATAATAGGTTCTGGCACTGAGGTAATTGCCAAGTTGTAAGTAAGCGTTGCCAATACTACCATACGCAATTCCTTCTCCAGACATGTCACCCAGTTCCTTGGCAATTTTTAGACGCTGCTGGTGACAGTCTATAGCTTTTTTATAATCTCCAAGTCTAAAAAAAGCGCTGCCAAGATTGCTATACGCCTTACCTTCTCTCAGCTTGTTATCCAATTCTTTGGCAATTTCCAGAGCGCGGTTTTGGTAGTCTATGGCCTTTTTGAACTCTCCCAGACAGTGATAAGTGCCTCCAATATTGCTATAAGCGACTCCTTCATCCGGCCTGTCTGTATGTAATAATGCAAGATTTAGATGCCTTTCATGGTAGTCTAAGGCTTTCTGAAAATTTCCAAGTCTGGAATAATCGTTGCCAAGACTACTATACGCACGACCTTCTCCATGTCTGTCTCCTCTTTCCTTAGAGATTCTAAGGAGGCCCTCGTGGTAGAACACCGCCTTTTTGAAATTTCCGAGACAGTAATAAGCATTGCCAAGGTCACCATACGCGTTTGCTTCTCGAATTTTGTCTTTCACTTCGGTTGCAAGTTTAAGACAACTTTCATGGTAACCAATAGCTTTTTGGACATCTCCCAGACAGCGATATGAGCAGCCAATACTACCCAACAGCCTTGCCTGTGCCGAAATGTCTCCCACTTCTCTGACTATTTCTAGAGAGCGCTCAGAGCAAAATATAGCCTTTTTGAAAAAGCCAAGCTCATGATAAGAAATGCCAAGATTGCCATACACGCTTCCCTTAATCTCTCTACACTCGCTTTTTGCTTTTGCAATAACTGTTAGGCATCGTTCGTACCACTCGATTGCTTCTTTTGAATGTCCAAGACTGAAGTACGCATTACCAAGACTACTATAAACGTTACACACTGTCGACATGTCGAACACATCCCCAGTTAGCTTAAGGAATCGCTCATAGTAGCTGATGGCAGTTTTAAAATCTCCCAGTTTGTAATAAGCGTGGCCAAGAGAGCCATAAACATTTGCTTCTTTAGAACGGTCCCCAGTTTCTTTGGCATTCTTGAGGCAGCGTTCATAGAAATGAATCATTGGGACTTTCCTGTTAGGTTGAGGATCGACACATTCCTATCAAAATTGATAAAATGGTCATTTTTAGCATCGACGACGAGAACGAGTATGGGTACCAGTTATTTTAGTTCTCATTTTTCGCTTTCATAGTTAAAATAGTCCTCTAAGAGGACATGAGCTTACTCGTATGGCAATGAATAATCTGTATAGAAACCACGTGCTTGCAAAAAAAAATCGTTCTTCAAGGCATTTACGTTTTGTAGCGACTTCAAATCGGCACTTGCACTTTTTCACTGTTTGTTGCGTGCTGTAAGCGCTTTATTAGTGAGCTTAAGCAACAACGTTTTTGAGCAACGCACGTGAACCGGAAGTGGCCTTTTTTCATTTTTTGACGGTTGTTTCCCGCAAATTTTCAGTCAAATCGCCTCTATAAAAGTAAAGAAGCTAAGGAATACAAATTTTATATCATCAAGGCATGTTAAGAGGGAAAATACCTCACTTCCTGTTGACGTGCGTCGCTCAAAAACGTCGCTGCTTAAGCTCCCCAATGTCAACCCTAACCCTAACCCCGGCTCCGGCCCCGACCCCGACCCCACGTTTTACTGGCATATTGGGGAGCTTAAGCAGCGACGTTTTTGAGCGACGCACGTCAACCGGAAGTGAGGTATTTTCCCTCTTAACATGCCTTGATGATATAAAATTTGTATTCCTTAGCTTCTTTACTTTTATAGAGGCGATTTGACTGAAAATTTGCGGGAAACAACCGTCAAAAAATGAAAAAAGGCCACTTCCGGTTGACGTGCGTCGCTCAAAAACGTTGTTGCTTAAGCTCCCTAATAACCCTAAACTTAACCCTAAACCTTAAACAGCGTTCTTTAAAAGAGATAGACCCCGACCCCGCGTTTTATTGACACCCTGCTAAAACCACAGGCGGAAAATCCGAACTGTTCGAGTCATCGTGACGTCACGCGCGACATGAGATATTATACATTTACTCTATTCGTAACGGCCCCTCTTGGCTTGATTCAAGTAATCGGGAGAAATGCTTCATAAAACACAGACGTTTCCACCTTTTGATCCCAAATGTCGATAAAATGTAAGAAAGATGAACAAAGCTAACTTACGGTCTGTTTTAAGTCGTGTTCTGCGTTAGTAGTGTATTTACAATTATTCCTCGAGCCCTCATGGCCTCTGAGTCAATAGCCCATGAGGCCGAATAATTGTTTTGGTAAAATCCAACAAGTTAGTCAAAAATATCGAGACAAAACAACTTTAGCTAGCAAAACGCGATTCAGCGGCCATTGTTTTGGTTTTCAAAGCCGGCGCTGTCCGCTACTAGTGGGCTATAACATATAGCCTGGTAGTTGCTTAACCAATCAGAACGCTGCATTGATAATAGACCACTTGTTGGATTTTACTAGTATGTATGAGTCGGGGATGCCAGCTTCAAGCGACTGAAAACCCTACAAAAACGCAGAACACGACTTAAAACATACGGTAAGTTGTCTTTATTTTCTTAATTCTTACATGATATCAACATTTGGGATAAAAAGGTGCAAAATTTTATGAAGCGTTTCTCTCGATCACTTGGATCAAGCCGAGAGCAGGCGTTACGAAATACAGTTAATGCTCAGTATGAGGCCACATGATGCCTCGAACAGTTCGGATGGCCCGCCTGTGCTAAAACTCCCTGATCATGTCAATGACCCCAGTGCCATAAACATGCACAATCAAAAAGCACGTATAATGAGGGAACAGAACAGGATACCGGTAACTGTAAGCAAAATGTGCTGAAATTAGTTTTAAAAAAAATAATGATCCACGTGTTTGAGTCTTACACTTTCTTTAAAAGTTTCTCTCGTAGACTGGATTTTTCGTTTCTCTTGTGTGTCCATTGATCTCTTCTTTATCTCCAACAACGTTTGGTGGTTTTTGGAAATCTTCTTAGAATTAAGGTACACAACATACACATAGGCAACATCTATTGACGACTATAAATTGAAATTGTCTTAATCTGCTGCATATAGTTTGCAACTGAATGCCGTTCTAATGATCTCAATCGCCTTTTGTGCCGCAAGAGCAGATCATTTGAGCTGCCTGGATGAGTTGACTAGCAAGCATATTCTGTAGCGTGCGAGCAAGCTTTCCATTTGGGGGATATCGTGAAAAGTAAGCGCACGAGAGGCAAATACATGGAATTTGGGTCTACGTTCATTTCACTAATATAATAGCTTTAAGGTAGTTTCGTCATTAATATAACGGCATCGAGCTGTGCGTGACGAACTTTTCTTCATTACATTTTCGGCATTAAAACGATGGCTAAGACGACAATTTGGATAGAACTCAGTACAGATATCACTCAGCAACACTGTGATATGATCTGGAAGTCAATCGACTGTGTAACGAGTATGCCTTAGGTTAGTGTACACGAAGTGCCATCCGGGCACGTGTTCAGGCGTTCCTGTGCAAAAATAGGTCAGTCCGCCATCTTGGTTGTCTTCTGTTATGGTAGCTGGTAAATAAATCAGTTTGTAGCGGACTCTGGTATGTTCGTAATCTGTTTCATGGTGTCAGAAGTGCAAGGCATCCACAAGCATTTATGAGCGACGAAAGTAGCG